CCCACTTGTCAACAAGCTCCCCAACTCCCCACTCTGTCCGTCCCCCTCCCCTCCCCTCCCACCCCTCCCCCCACCCCCCCTCCCCTCCCCCCCCCCCCCCCCCCCCGCCCACCTTGGCGCGTCAATCTCCATCATCCTCTCCCTCACCACGCCCTCCCCATGCCCTCCTGAACACAGTTCGACCAGTCACACATCCTCGACACATCTGATCTGCTGGAAGAGCTCGAGAACAAGTGTGGTGGACAGGATGGTGAGGCGTGCAACAACCTCGGGGTGCGGTACCTGCTGGGCAAGGACGTGGCGGTGAACAAGGAGAAGGCGGTCGAGTACTTCCGTCGGGCTTGCGATGCCTCGCTGCCCGATGGGTGCTACCATCTGGGCCTGACCCAGTACCATGGTTCAGGCACTCCGGTCTCCATGCCTGATGCACTTGCCTCGTTTGAGAAGGCGTGCAACCTCGGCGAGGGCGGCTCGTGCAACAACCTCGGCATCATGTATCAGACCGGCTCGGGCGTGGAGAAGGACGCCGATGCCGCCGCAGACTTTTTCGCAAAGTCATGCTCGCTCGACGACGCCACCGGCTGCCTCAATGCCGCCCGCACCGCCGCCGTCGTCAAGGAGACCGCAGACATGGTCAAGTTCCTGCAAAAGGGCTGCAACCTCGAGTCCATCGCAGCCTGCTTCTCGCTCGGCTCGGCCTACCTGCACGGGACCGGCGTGGAGAAGGACAACCTGCGGGCGACAGCCATGTTTGGCAAGGCCTGCCGCCTCGGCTCGGCCGACGGCTGCTTCCTCCTCGGCGTCTCACACTTTACCGGCAACGGCGTCGCGCTCGACAAGGCCAAGGGCGCCAAGTACTACCGCATCGCCTGTGAGAAGGGCTCGTCTCAGGGCTGCATCGCCTTTGCCGAGTGCCTCATGCACGCCGAGGGCGTGCCGGCCAACCCGGCCGCTGCGCAGCACATCTACCAGCGCGGCGTCGCGCTCAAGCGCCAGGAGGACGCCGCCAAGGCTGCCCGCGGCGGCGCGCCTCCGCCATCGTCGCAGTAAGCAGGTACTTGCTGCCGGCTCTGCCTCGCCTCAGGTGATGTGTGAAGTTCTTTGTTGCTGTTGTCTCGCCTCTCCCCTACCTGGCAAAGACGGTGTCGAGCGCCGCCGGAAGCGGGTGGATAGTTGTGGCGTAGAAGGCCTCGATGTCGCGGACCTCACGGGTGTCTGCCGGCTGCACGAATGAGATGGCGACGCCCTTGCGGCCGAAGCGGCCGCCACGGCCGATGCGGTGGACATAGTTCTCACGGTTGTTGCGGGTCATGTCGTAGTTGATGACGAGCGAGACCGACTGGACGTCAATACCGCGGGCGAGGAGGTCGGTGGCGAGCAGGATCCGCGCCGCGCCGGTGGAAAAGGCCGCCAGGATGTCGCGCCGCTCCTCGAGTGGCATCTCCGAGTGGACGTACGCCACGGTATGGTCCTCGGCGTCGAGGGCAGCCGCCAGCGCCTCAACCCCATGGCGGGTGTTGCAGAAGATGACCGTCTGCGAGACCGAGATGGTGGCGTAGAGGTCAAGCAGTGTAGAGAGCTTGTGCTCCTGCCGTTCAACCATGACGTAGTACTGGTCGATTCCCTCAAGAGTCACCTCGTCGCGCTCGAGCAGAATCCGCACCGGGCTGCGCAGCATCTTGTCGGCGATGGCGAGCACGCCATCATCGAGGGTGGCCGAGACAAGCGCAATCGTAGCCGCGTCCGAAAGCTGGCGCACCACCTCGTACATGGCCTCGACAAAGCCCATCGAGAGCATCTCGTCGGCCTCGTCGAGCACCAGCCGGTTGATGGCCGAGAGGTCGAGCTCGCCGGCGCCGGCCAGGTCGAGCACCCGCCCGGGCGTCCCCACCACTACCCCTGGCCGCTTCCGCCGCAGCTCGCTGATGTTGTCCCACCGCCTCAAGCCGCCGATGCACGTCGTCACCCCCACGTCGAGGTAGGAGCCGAGGTCCTCGACCACACCCGCGCTCTGAAGCGCCAGCTCGCGCGTCGGCTCTAGAATCAGCAGGCGCGGCATGCCGTCGCTCACCGTTCCCGTGTTGACCATCTGCTGCAGCGCGCCGATGACAAACGTCGCCGTCTTGCCGGTCCCACTCTGCGACTGCGCCACAATGTCACGGCCCTTGGCAATGGGCACAATTCCCAGCGTCTGGATCCGCGACGGGTTCTCGTAGCCATACGCATACAGCCCGTGGAGGATCTCGTCGGCGAGCCCCATGTCGTCAAAAGTCTCGTACTCCTTGGTCAACTCCCCGGCCACCCCGCCGCCGCCGCGCACTGGTCGTATCCATCGCTGCCTGCCGTCGCGATGCTCTCTGTCGTCGTAATCTTGCTATCCGTGTTCATGTTGTTGTTGTTTGGGTTCTTGTGTGTGGCAAACGTTGTAGATGCCGCCTCGCCGCCGCATGGCCGGTTTTGTTGGCACCGCCGACGCCACCGCCGAGCCGCGCTCGGTCGGCTGCCGTGCCATGTTCGTCGCCGAGCCGGGCTCCTCTCGGCCCTCGTCCTGACCATCTGCACCAAGCACCGCAATTCCAAGAGCAATTGGGTGGAAACCAAATGCAGGCCATGCTTATGGGTTTAAATCGGTGATGCTCACCCATGCGTTGCGGTTGGTGGACCAATGCATATACCTTGGGCGCGCCTGGGACAATTCCATTTTGCTGATCAAGCAAACGCGCACCGGTTGCCACAGATTTCTGCAAGGGTGCGGTGACTAATCCAGGCTCGGTGACCAGTTTCTCTTCACCCTCACGCCACCTTCCGATAGGGACGACTCGAGGGTAAAGGCATGGCAGGCAGACCGAAATTGTGGTCTCTGTCGGTGGTAGCCGTGCCCAAAGCCACCACCCGATCACCCAGCCACCACCACCCGATCACCCCGCCACCCAGCCACCCCCGCTGGCGACACCTCCCCTATCCAGCCCGCACACGACTCGTCTTGGCGACCGAGGCCCCGCCCCCCCCCCCGCCCATGGAGTTCTGTGTCGAGTGGTATGCCCCTTCCCCCTCCCTTTCTCCCTTCTCCTTCCCCCTCCTCCCCTCCTTCCCCCCCTCCCCCTCCCTCCCTCCCTCCCCTCCCCTCCCTGCTGCCGTCGCCACGAGTCGCACTCACCACTCCCTTCCCCCCTCTCCTCCTACAGCAACAACCTTCTGCACCCAAAGTGCTCGCAGGACAATGACGGACAGTTTGTGCTCAACCTCGAGTGCATGACCTGTGACTTTGTGGGCCCTGCTTCGTCCATGAAGGTCTTCACCCGCAAGGTCGTCCGCCGCGCCGAGGAGTACGTCCTCCCCCCCTCCCCCTCCCCTCCCCCCCCCCCCCTACCCCCCTCCTGCCCCCTCCCCCTCCCTCCCTCGCTGCCAACTCACCCTCCCTCCGTTCTCTGCAGTACCGCAAGCCAGATCACAGACGAGGTCATCAGCGACCCGACCCTGCCGCGGTCGTTCCAGACAAAGTGCGCCTCGTGCGGCGGCGAGGAGGCTGTCTTCTTCCAGAGTCACATCAAGACCGGCGATACCATGACGCTGTTCTTTGTCTGCTGCAACGAAGAGTGCAAGAACCGCTGGACCATGTGAGTCTTACGCTGAAGAGGCCGTGCAAAATCAAGCCCGAGAGGCGGGAGTGGACAAGAGTGGACGGGCACGGACGTGAGAGACAGTGTGTGTGTAAAAGAGTAGCACGGACAGGTCTAGATGGTGCGAGCAATGAGCTCCTTCATCATCTCGTTGGTGCCGGCGTAGATGGGCTGGACACGGGCATCACGGTATGCCTTGCAAATCGGGTACTCCTCCATGAACCCGGCGCCGCCGTGCATCTGGACGCCAACGTCGACGACCTCGTTCTGCAGGTCAGTGGCCCAGTACTTGGCCATCGAGGCCATCTGCGAGGTGAAGCGGCCCTGGGCGTGGAGCTCGAGGCACGAGTCGACAAAGGTGCGACCGATGACCACGTTGGTCTTGACCTCGGCGAGGCGGTGGGCGAGGGCCTGGAATCGCTTGATCTGCTGGCCAAAGGCCTTGCGCTCGTTGACAAACGCGCGGGTCCATTCGTAGGCGGCCTCGGCGGCGGCAATGCCGGCGCCAGCCACAATCAGCCGCTCCTGCGGGAGTTCGGTCATGAGGTGGTAAAAGCCGCCGCCTTCCTGGCCGAGCATGTGTTCCTTCTTTGACACGAGCACGTCCTCGAACACGAGCTCGGACGTGTCCTGCGCATGGAGGCCCATCTTCTTGAGCTTGCGCCCGCGCGAGAAGCCCTTCATCCCATCCTCGACAACAAACAGGGTGAGTCCACCGCCGCGCTTGTCCGGCTGCCCGGTCCGAGTGACCACGATGACCGTGTCGGCGAGGGCGCCGTTAGTGATGTACGTCTTGGAGCCCGAGATCTTGAACGTGTCGTCGTCAACCTGCACGGCCTTGGTCGCCACGCCCTGCAAGTCCGACCCGGTGTTGGGCTCAGTCATGGCGATGGCGCCGATAGCCTCGCCGGTGATCATCGGCGGGACGTACTTGGCCTTCTGCTCGGCCGTCCCGTAGTGGACCAGATACGGCAGCACAATGTCCGAGTGCAGCGCAAAGCCCGGGCCGGAGCAGTTCGAGTAGCTCTGCTCCTCCCACACCACTGCAGAGTACCGAATGTCGGCGCCCACTCCGCCCTCGGCCTCGGGCACCCCCACCCCGAGCAGCCCAGCCTCGCCCGCCGCCGTCCACAGCTCGCGCGGCACTTGCCCTGCCGCCTCCCACTCGTCGTGGAACGGCGCCACCTGATCCTGGAAGAACGCACGCACCCCGCGCCGGTACTCGTCATGCTCCGCAGACAGGATCCGCCGAGTTCCGATCTGCATCAGACTCTCGGCATCGGCAGGTTCGATCCGCTCCTCGCCGGCCTCCTCGCGCAAGCCAGCCGAGGTGCTCAGCGCCTGCCGCTGGCCGACCACGCCTCCACCCGCAACAGCTGCCCTGCCAGCCATGGCGGCGGACCGAACCGCCGTACGCACACAAGCCACAGACATCATCATCAAAGGTACTTTGTAAAAAAAGGAGGAGGGGAAGGGGGGAGGAGTATGCTGCCGCCACAGCCCGACCCAGTAGAGGGGGAGGGCAGTGTGTGGTTGGTGTCACCGAAGGAAGTGCCACCGCCACCAACCGTGGCCGTCTGGCTGCCCCGGCTGGCTGGCTGCCCCGGCTGGCTGGCTGCCCCAGCTGGCTGGCTGCCCCGGCTGGCTGCCGTCGCCGGCACGCCCTGTCGACAAACCGTTGGCGGTGGTGGCCCCCCGCTGCAGGCACAGCCGAGACTGGACGACCCGACCGCCACCCCACTCCCCCCCCTACCCCCCCCCCCTTCCTCCCCACCTATACCTACACCTCACCACGGCCACCCCTTTGGCCTTCACTCACCATGGCCCAGCGCATGACCAAGGAGGAGGAGGCCGAGCTGGAGCGCCTCGAGGTACGCACCGCCCACTCCCGCTCTCCCCCCCTCCCCCCCACCCCACCCCCCCACCCCTCCACCCCCCAACGCCTCACCCTCCCCTCCTCCTCCCCATCCACAGGCCCTCGGTGCAGCGCGTAAAGCCGGGCAGAAGGCGTATGCGCAGAAAAAGTACGAGGGCGCGTCGCAGCACTTCTCGACCGCCATCGAGCTGCAGAGCGGCGACTTTAAGCTCCACTCAATGCGCTCGCTCTGCTTTCTCAAGCTTCGCAAGTTCCAGCTGTGCGTGGGCGATGCTCAGATCATGATCAATTTGAAGCGGAAGAACCCGGCTGGTTACCATCGCAAAGGCCTTTGCCATCTGCAGCTCCGCGAGTACGCGCTAGCCTATCGCACCTTTCAGGACGGCTTGCTCCTCAATCCGGGCGCGCCCGCACTCGTCAAGGGTCAGCGCGATGCTGTCGCCGCCCTGCGCTCCGGCAAAGTCACTCAGCTGACCTCCACTGCCCTGCTCTTCTCGTACTATGGACCTGACGGCAATGTCGAGCGCGGCGACCGCAAACGCGTCCATCTCGACGCCGCCGCCCTCGCGGCCGAGGTCGGCGGTGAGAGTGAGCCCGGTGCAGGTCCGGTCGACGTGTCGGCCGAAGCTGAGCTGGCGTCATACTCGTGCGACATGTCGCGGATGGTCGGCGCCCTCCGCGACCGCCGCATTGAGGTCTTTGGCCACCATGCCACCCGCATCGGCGGCGGCTCGCCGGAAGAGCTCGCCCGCTACATCCGCAACTTTTCGACGTCGATCCGGTCCACTCGCACTACATCGTGTACTACACCGGCCGCGCCCAAGTGGGAACCGGCGACTGGGCTGTCTCCTCACCGCGCTTCTCCTTTGCCGACATGATGGCGGCCTGGCAACTCTCGGCCGCGTGCGCCGCCGGCTCCCGCCTCGTCATTATTGCCGACTGCTCACACTCGGGCGCCTGGGCCGATGAGCTCGCTGACAATCCGGCGTACGCACAACTCTCCAATGTCGCCGTCCAAGCGTCTGCGCTCGCCTCGCAGGCCGCCGGCGCTACCATCGCCGGCGGCGAGTTTACCCAGACCTGGCTCGACGGCCTCTCGCTCAACGTCAATCGCCGCATCGTCTCGGTCGGCACCGCGCCCACCCCCTCCACGGCCTCGCGGCCGTCCAGCATGGCTCGTACGCTGAGAACGAGGCATCGCGGCCGGCCATCCTGATTGCGCCCTGGCTCCCACAGCTCAACAGCCTCCTTGCTCTGGTTCAAACTCCGCTCGCCTACGCAAAGTGGGCAATGCGCGACGAGGTCGTCATCCACTGCGGCCGCCGTATGCACCTGCTCAACGTTGCCGCGGCACGCCACATCTCCACCATCCACGAGCTGGAGGTTGACGAGCTCGATGGCTCGCACGCACCGGCGCCCGAGTGTCGAGTCTCATAGGCCAGCTCTTTGTTCATTCGTAACACGCCTTCTCTGCCTTGATATTGCGCTCAAAAGCCAAACTCTTCCAAGTCGAGTCCGCCTTGCCCTTCCCCCACCTGCAGCGGCTTGGCCTCCTCCTCTTTGGCCACAACCGCTTCTGATATGAGCTGGGCGTCCTTGCGGGGCACCTCCAGCTCGTGGTCCACCTCCTTGGCCGGTGTTGGAGACGGCTCTGTCGACGGCGGGGACTTTTCGGCCGCAGCCGCGCAGTCAGAGCCGCCCGCGTCGAGGGCGTCACCGACACTCCCCGAGCCACCCGAGCCGCTTGGCGGCCGCCGCGCCTTGAGAGCAGCCACCTGCTCGAGGACTTGCGACGGGGGACGGCGCGGCTTGGAAGGCGGCGGCGACGGCTTGGGCGGTGGGATGGCCCGCGAAGGCGCTCCACCGAGCGTAGTCGACCGCGTCCGGAACCGCCCACCGCGAGCGACAAGCGGGAGGACCCGCGGCTTGGACGAGCCGGGACCCGAGTGTGCGCCTGCATCGACATCTTCGTCATCGTCATCGTCGTCGTCGTCGTCGTCGTCATTGTCATCGTCGACGGTGCTTGGCACTGAAGCTTCACTCTCGCTTGCAGCTTGCTCACCCGAGCCGGCCGAGCCGGCCGAGCCCGACGAGCCCGTCGAGAGCGGCTTGGGCGGCGGTCCTGGCGGCGTTCCGGGCAGCGGGCGCGAGCCCGGCGCTGACCGCATGGTGACCCTCCGACGCTTGCCTGGCTGCCGCGACGGCAGCGCCGGCGGCGGTCCTTCGCTACCGCCCACCTCTGGCGTGACGACGACGGGAGCAGGGACCCGCTCCGCTGAGCTCCGCGGCGACGACGGCGGAGAGCACGCCGGCGAGGCGTCCGGCGACGACAGTAGGTCCTCCGACGTGGTCCCGGTGTTTGACGAGAGGTCAACTGAGACCCGCTTGACAGCCGCGTGCTTGCCATCGTCACCGCCGCTGGGCGCAACCGCCAGGTGGTCGAGCTTGGCCTCGGGCGAATTGGCCTGAGAGATGGCCTTGGCCAGGACCTCGCACCAAATGTCATAGTCACGCTGCGAGTATGCCATAAACTGGAACATGCGCTCAAAAACAGGGTTAGAGAGCGTGATGAGGTGCTTCTTCGACAAAATAGCCGTCTCGAGGGTGGTGTTGCGTAGCGGGATCGACCACAGCGGCGACTTGGACGACTCATTGCGAAAGTAGGTGAGATAGTTGCTGTGCTGGACAAAAAACCGCCGGTTCCAGCCAAACATCTTGGTGAACGACTTGGAGACCTTGCCCTTGCGCTTGCCCAGCCAGCCCGAGCACCGCACGTCAAGCAGGTTCTGCGGGGAGCACGTCGAGACAAATTTCAACAGCTGCCGCTCCGCCACAGTGTTGACCGGCCCAGCCACCCGGAACGAACGCTTCTCAGTCTCCGACTCGAGCTCGAACTCGGTGGTCTGCGGAACAACGGCAGGCTGATCCAGCGTCAGCGCCGGCCGATTCGGCCGCGCCGCCACCGTTGACGATCGCTTAGTCCCGGCCCGCATCTGCCGCGAGTTGGCCATCCGCGCCGGCGACTCGTCGCGGTCGGTGCCCGACGAGTCGGCCGGTGACGGCGGGGCTGAGCCGTGCGCCGGCGATGACGGCTCCAGGCTCGGCGAAAACTGCGGCATTCGCACAATCGTCGCCGACCGCCGCCGCGACTCGGAGCCGCTGAGCGGCGGCGTCGCCGAGCTGCTCATGTTGAGCGTCAGTACCGACGGCGGGACAGAGTCCACCGACGCATCTGATGCGTCCATGAGCATGTTCATGGCGTCGTTGAGCTCGTCGTCGATCGAGACATTGCTGGCTGCAGCTGCAAGGAACGCCTTTTCCTCCTTGAGCTTGGCCGGAAGCAGCCGAAGGCAGGTCTTCTTCGACCGATGAATGGTATGACCCTTGACCGTTGTCTCGTCGCCGTTGAGCAGCTTGTTGCACACCCAGCACATGCCCTCCGGCACGCAAAACGGCGAGCCGGTCGAGTCGACACCAGTCGGTGGAGCGTTCGACGATGCCATGGCCACCGCGAGTGCCGCCGCCGTCGACTCGCCTGCGGTCTCCGAGGCACTCAGCTCGCCTGACGGATGCGAGGTTAGGCTCGTCGTGCTGTGGCTCTGGTTCTGGTTCGCCAGCGCCCCTGCCAGCGGCGACGGATTCTCCTCCTCGGCACGCTGACGGAGGTAGTAGTAGTGATCGGCGATGGTCTTCTCGTAGTCCATGACCACTTCCTGGCGGGCGAGGAACATCTCATGCTGGGCCTGGATGGTGAGCACAGTCTCGGCAAACTGCTGGCCGAGGTTCTCGACCGTCTGGCGATAGGTCTCGATCTCGGTGGTCATGACCACCTGTTGCTCGCGGAGCTTGTCGACCGAGTCCTCGAGCATCTTGACTCGGTCGCGGAGGTAGTCGTTTTCGGCGCGGAGGACCCGCTTCTCGCGCTTGAAAAGACGGAAGGCAAACAGTTGCTTTCCGCGCATCATCTTTGAGTGCTGCGATGAAATGCGCGAGACGGCCTGGTGGAGCTCAGCCACCTCATCCTGCACGTCGCGCATGTTGTGCCGTATCCGGTGCCGATGCACCGTGCCCGATGAGGTCGACGACGAGCTCTCGTACGAGTCGTCGACAGCAAAGGCCTGCGACGGCGCCGCCGCCCCGATTGGGAGGAGATCCGGAACATGCGTCGCCGTCTGCCGCAGCAGTTTGGGCTTGCGAAGCTTGGTGAACGCCTCGCCCGACGTCGACGTCAGCGGGCGGTCATCGGAGACGCCCTGGAACCTACCGACGCCGCCGCGCTTCCGCCGCTTGGCCTTCTTCTTCTTCTTCTTGGCCTTGCCGGCCGACGCTGCGGTTGTAGCGCGCTGGCGCGCAAGCTGGGCTGCCGCAGCGTTTGCGTCGGCTACCGCTTCTGGGTCTGCGAGGCCGACGTCGGCCGCGGCGTCGTCGACATCGCTGTCGTCGACCTCGACGTGGCTGTGTGCAGAGTACTGTGCGTTGATGAATGAGATGACGTCGGGGCGGCGCTCGGCAAAGGTGCTAGCCCGCGGCGAAGGCGTGGCGTCGTCGTCGGCTGTCCCGCCGAGCGTTTTCTTGAGCACCACTGACCGCTCGCCCTCGGGCGTGCCAACCAGCGCGGCAGCAAGTGCATACGACTCTGGCGAGGTAAACCGCGCCCCAATGTCCGCCTGAGCCGCGTCGGACGGCGGCGCGCTAGCGCCTGTTTCACCCTTGGCCGGCGAGTGCACACCCAGCGAGGCAGTACGGGCGGGCGGCACGACGGGCGCGTCAGCACGATCAGAGCCGGGCGAGGCCCCGGGCGGCAAAGGTGACGAGGCAGGCGTCAACACCGCGGCAGAGTCGTTCTTCGGGCTGGTGACCGGCGGCTTTTCCGGCGGGGGGCTGTAGCTGTGACGGCTCCTGCTGCAGGCGGCGGTGGGCGCGGCGGCGGGAGCTTGCCCTCTCCAGGGTTGCCAGGTCGTGACGACGCGTGCGACGACGATCGAGCCGTGGCGAGCGGCTTGGGCCTTGTAGTAGGCTTAGGGCCAACAGGAGGCGGCTTTGGGCCGGCCGCCTTGGGAGGCACGGGCTTGGAGGTATGCGAGCCTCGACGCGGACCCTGTCCAACACCCATGGCTGCTCCCGGTACCTTGGACGGCAGGGGTGGCGCCGACATGAGATTTTTTCTCGCCGGCGTCAGGTGGCCACTCGGCTCGTTCTTGCGTGGCTGCCGCTTTTTTTGCCGTTGGCCGCACGCGTGGACTCGCCGTGGACTCCACGCCTACCCTCTGCCGGAACGACCTCCTTCTCCTCCTGCTTCTGGACTGCAGGTTGGCTCGAGGGTGGCCACAAAATAAGTACCTGGCTGTGATGTAGGCCTTCCCCTTCCCCGCTGAGTGGATCGCGAACAGAGGCCGGTTGGCTGCCCGCCCGCGCGCACATGTGACAGAGCGAGGGGATGATGGGAAGCCGGAACACATCCACCATCACCATGTCGGACCAAGACCACCATCACCACGTCGGACCAAGACCACCATCACCATGCCAGACCACGACCACCACCATCACCATCGCGACCTTTTTGTCACGATCCGTACAATTGCTGCGACCACCACAATTGTCTCGTCCACGATCACCTCTCACCCCCCCTCCCCCCCCCCCCTTCCTTCCCCGGGCCGACGCTCATGCCAGAGCTTGGTGGCGCCCTCAACATGCATGCTGGATGGACAGGCGGGCAGTTTTCTGTGGTTCGGGCTGCGGTTGGGTTGCATCTTCTCGCTCTTGCCTGCGTGGTGGCGTCGGGCGGTTCGCAGGAGGCGTCCAACTCGGCGCCGTCAGGTCTGCTTGCGGCGCTCGTCTCGCCGGGCCTGGTTGCGCTCCTCCTGGCGGCAGCCGCAGTTGGGGTGGTTGTCGGAGTGGCGACTCGTCCGCTGGCGGTGGCGTCTGGCTGTGTACTGGCGTGGTGGGCAGACAGGCGGGCGACGGCGGCGGTGTTCCCGTGGCCGCCGGCACAGGCTGCGGGCCTGCCTCCGCTGATGCCGACGCTGGCGGCGCTGGCAGCCCTGGCTGCCGCCCGTGGCGCACCGTACGGCTCTTGGCCGGCACGGGTTCGTGTTGATCCGCGTGGGGACTTTTCTGTTGCTCCGGCGAGCACTGTGCTGGCCTGGGCGGTGGTGGTGATGGCGTACGCCAACGGGCTCCTGGCCATCGCTGCTGCTTGGCCGGGGGGAGACACGCCGCTGGGACTGCGGGCTCTGGGCAGCCCGCTAGGCGGTTTGTTTCTGGCCGGCGTTGCCGCGCTCGCGGCGCCAGTCACTCGTGCCGCAATCTGGCACGCCTCGTTTGTGGCGCAGATTGCGGCGGCGGCACTCGCGGCGTCGGGTATCGACGGCAGCACCTCGCTTTCGGGCTTGGGCGCGAGCCTCGGCCTTGCCATTCTCCATCTTGTTGCCTTTGAGCCTCAATGGGTGCCGGCGTGCGCTTGTGCGCCGGTGGCGCCGGGCTCCACCGCCCGTGACCGGGTCCTGTATGATGGCGATTGCGGGCTCTGCCACCGATTCCTCCGGCTGGTCATGGCCGAGGCGCAGCGTTCAACGTTGCCTTTTGTCTTTACCCCACTCCAGTCGCCGCTGTGCAAGCGGCTCGTCCTTGACTCGGGCCTGTATGACGAGGCCAAGGCTGGGCCTCTTCCGGACTCGGTCCTAGTGGTCACCGCCGATGGGCGCCTGCTGATGAAGTCAGCGGCAGCGTTCTATGTCATGCAGCGTCTTGGTGGCATGTGGCGGGTCATCGGCGAGCTGGGTATGCTGCTTCCACAGAACCTCCGCGACTTTGGCTACGAGAGCGTCGCCTCAGTCCGCCACATGCTCTTCGCCAAGCCTAAGACCGGCGCCTGCCCGCTCCTGCCCAAGCCTTATCGCTCTGCCTTTGACCTCGGTGACGACTTTGGCGTGTAAACCATTTGTCTCTGCTCCTGCATTAGTTCTACTGCAGCGCAGACGTCTGAGGTACCTGGTGCCGTGCTAGACGTTTCCGCATCCATGCCATGGCGATCCGCTGCCCGGCAATAGTTCGCTTGGACTCGTCCAGCCGACTAGCCACCTTGCGGCCACCCGCCCGAGCTTCCTCGAGTGCCTTGACCAAGCTGGCGTTCTCGCTCTCCAGCTGTGCAATGTACGCTCGGTGCTTGGCCACTACCCGGCGCCGCCACGCCAGTGCTATCTGAAAGCCGGCACGGTCACGGGCGGCAGCATCACTTCTGGTCGCCAGCATGGTGCCCAGAGCCTCGATCCGCGCCCTCGCCGAGTCGAGCTTGGCGTCGGTAGGGAGGAGTACGGCTTCAACCAGGCCCTCACGCTCAGCATCGGCCGCGTTGCGTGCGGCGGTTGCAGCCGCTACCTTGTGTTCGAGTTCCTGGACCCGCGCAAGTGCGGCGATGAGCGCGCCTTTGATAGCCGACATGCGGTCGCAGCCTTTGGTGGACGACCCGCTCTCGCTCCGTAGTTTGGCAATAGTCCGCCTTTGCCAGGCCAGAGCAATCTTGAAACCGGCACGGTCACGGGCGGCGTCGTCACTCGTGGCCGCCAGCATGGTGCCCAGAGCCTCGATCCGCGCCCTCGCCGAGTCGAGCTTGGCATCGGTAGGGAGGAGTACGGCTTCAACGAGGCCCTCGCGCTCAGCATCGGCCGCGTTGCGTGCGGCGGTTGCAGCCGCTACCTTGTGCTCGAGTTCCTGGACTCGCCCAAGTGCGGCGATGAGCGAATCTTTGGTGGCAGCCGCCACTCGTGAACTGTGCAGACATGCGGCTTCGGCGCCTGCCAACCGGATTCGGAGACGCTCGATGCTCTCGTCGTCGGTCTCCTGGATCGAGCTTGGCTGCGATAGTTGCAGCTCGCGCAACTGCGCACGGAGTTTGGCGTTTGCGCGCTTTCGCCATGCCAGCGCAATCTGGAAACCGGCGCGGTCGCGAGCAGCCTCGTCGCTCTTGGCTGCTAGCATGGTGCCCAGGGCCTCAATCCGCGCCCGGGCCGAGTCGAGTTTGGCATCCGCAGGGAGCAACAGTGCTTCCACCACGGCGTCATGCATGTCAAAAACAGCATCCCGCTCGGCACGCGCATGGGCAAGCTCAGTCCGCAGCCGCTGAGCCTCACCCAACGCGTCCAGCAGCGCGTCTTTGGTCGGCACCGCCGCCGCCACCAGGGCCACCTCGGCAGCCACAGCCCGGCGACGCAGGTGCGCAGCTTCCTCCGACACCGCCTGGAGCGCGGCATTCAGAGCCACAACTCGGCCGGCAGCGTCGGGTTGACCCATGTAACCGCGGAGCTCCATCGTGGTCCTCAGCGCCTCGAGCGCCTTGCCCTGGTCCTGGGCCCGAGCGCGGACGCTCTCGGCCAGATCGCCGATCCGAAGCGCAACTCGATCCTCAAACAACATCAGGTCGGTGCCGGCCAACTCGCTCCTGTCCTCCTCGGCGTCGTCATCGTCAGACCGCGAGCTGGCCTCCGACTCGGTGAGCGAGACCGGGACCGAATCTGGCTGCGGCGGCGAAACGGCCTGCGTCGGCGGCGGCAGGCGGCGTGGCGGCTCTGACTCGGATGGCATTGACTCGGACGAGTCCCCTGCAGCCACCAGCACCTGCGACAGCTCCAACTCGCGGCGATCCTGCACCGTCTCTGCCAGCAGGGCCTCCATCTCGGCACACACCTGCTTGCGATCAGCAGCGGTGGCCCAGGCTGACGCAGCGTCGGCCTGCGCAGCCTGCACCGCTGCATGTGAATCCAGCAAGGCGATCTTGAGCGTCGCTGCCGCAGCCACTGCCTCTGCTGTGCGAGCCTCTGCAGCGGCAATCAATTCCTGCGCCTCCCTCGCCCTCGCTTCAGCCGCCCCGGCACGTCGCTCCGCCTCCGCCAGGCGTGAGTGAAGGAGAGCCTTAACCCGACCCCAGGCCGTCTGCAGCGGAGCCACCTCACAAGGAGCAGCTTGCCAAGCACTGTCGACCACAGTCGACGAGTTGCTCATGGCTGCACGGGGATGGAGGTGGTGGGGTGGGGTGCCGGTGGAGGGGTAGAACCAGAAGAGATAGCGTGAAAGCCGCCAGTTGGTGGCGCCAGGCAATCGCCCGGCCACCGTCTGGCCACCGCCTGGCCACCGCCACTCGCCGCCGGCAGGCCGCACCACCGACCAGCCCCCCCCCCCCTCCTCCCCTCGCGCCAACCTCACCCGCCTGCTTCTACCTTGGCCACCACCACCTCCCTCACCTTCCACCATGGCCGCACAGCTCAAGGCCAAGTACCCTGTCAACACATGTATCTGGGTCAGGCTCCGTGGGCACCCCTACTGGCCCTGCATTGTACGCCCCCTCCCCCCCCCCCCCCCCTCCCCCCTCCCCCCCTCTCCCCCCTCCTCCCCCTCCGCACACTCACCATAGATTCTTGTCGGCAGGTCATCGACCCTGACGACGCACCGCCCGAGGTGGTCGAGGGCGCAGGGAAGAAGAAGGCTACGTCGCTGCTGGTGTACTGGTTTGGCGTCCCGGCGGCGCAGTCGTTCTCGTGGGTGGGCAAGAACCAGAGCTTTATGCTGTGGGACGACGGGCTGGCCAAGTTTGGCAAGAAGAAGGACCTGGCGCGGGCGCTCAAGGCCAGGGAGGCGTATGTTAACGGAACGGTTCTGTCGGACGATGACGACGAGGTTGACGACGGTGCTGCACCGATGGACGAGGCCGGCGAGGAGGCGCGGGCTGCGGTCGACTCTGAGTCTGAGGCCTCGGCTCCGTCCAGCGACGACGACGATGATGACGACGACGACGAGGGCTACACCGAGAGCAAGTCAAAGAAGAAGAAGAAGGCGGCTCCCAAGAAGCGCAAGCGCGCAGCGTCCAAGTCCAACCGCGCGCGCAAAAAGGTGGCGGCTGCCAAGTACCGGAGCTCGAGAGTCGACGACCGCCCGCGCCAGCTCAAGAAGCTGGACGCCGACCTGTGGGACACGCTCGTCCTTCACCGCGACCTGGTGGCCAACACAGGCTCTGTCGCTGAGTTGTGTGTGGTCCTCGATCGCATCGCCAATACCGAGACCTCGTTCATTGCCGTTGTCTCGTCGCGCCTCGGGCGCCACATCGCCGCCCTCACCTCGCACGATGACTCGAACGTGGCGGGCAAGGCCGCCCAAATTCGCGACAAGTGGGTGGCACAACTTGAGAGCCACGCCGACAAAGCCGACCTCGTCACCCGGCTCCGCGCCTTTGACGCCGTCCTGGGCGTCGCGCCGACGCCGGCCGCGGCCGCCGCCTCGTCGCCGGCGCCCGAGCCCGTCGCGTCGAGCTAAACACACCCCGTGCGTCGTTGCCTTTACCGGATTGGCCTATCGCGATGCGAAAAGAACTTGAGGTACGGTGCGCAGAGGAGAAACATGCCGGTGTAGGCGAACGAGATGTAGAGCTGGACCTTGAAAGGCGACCAATGCAGGTGGTCGATGGCCTGACCGACGAGGACGACCACGGTGGTGTAGGAGAGGGTAAATAGCGAGATGTCGATGGCAAAGACCCGCCCGCGAACCTCGTTGGGCACCTTGGTCTGCAGCAGCGCAGATCCCATGGTCATGATGGTCGAGCCTCCGGCGACCCGCACAAGATTGGAGAGGAGGAAGACGTAGAACGACGGGACCGAGGCCGTCACGTACGAGCCGATGTTCATCAGCACCATGGCGCCGATGAAGGCCACCTCGCGCGCCTGGTCGTGCGGTGGCGTGAACCGCTTGACGAGGTTCGGGCCCACAAACGCGCCCATACCCACGACGGCATACATGATGCCGAGCGTGAGCGAGCCGTCGTGGTCGAACGAGAACCGGTAGACTTCCTCGGCAAATAGAATGTTGAGCAAGTTCGACCCGCCGCCGATCGCCACCAGCGAACGGATGCACGTGAGCGCGAGGATGTAAGGGTTGCGGAGCCAAAACGCAAAGCCACCCTTGATCTTGCCCAGCACGCTCGTGTCCGAGTCAAATGGTCTCTTGCCGCTCTCGACATCGGTGTCAAATGGCATGAGCTCGACCTCTGACGACGGCGAGTACTCGAATGCGGCGTGCTCCTGCTCCTCGACCTCGTCGGACGAGATGCCCAAGATGACAGCGTCACCGCCATCGTTGCTGGCAGCCGAGTCCTTGCTCCGCCCGCCCAGATTGATCTCGACGTCGGAGGAGGAGAGACTCGCTTCGGCGGTGTTGTCGCCCGAGTCCGCGAGCGCGACATAGCCCGGATCGCCTTCGAGCGGGACTTCGACCCACAGTCGCCAGATAAGGTACGAGGAGAGCAGAAAGGTGACACCGTCGAGAACGTAGTCGACCTGGATGCCAAAGAACGAGGTGACGATGCCACCGACGGACGAGCCGACGAACAGCAGCGCGTAGCGGGTGGAGCCGTCGAGAACGTTGGCGGTGAGGAGCGAGTCAGCAGAGACAAGTTGCGGAACGAGGGCTGCGCGGGCCGGATCAAACAGAGCGGCGAAGGAAAAGTGCAGAAAGACGCAGATGTAGATGAGCCAGAGCAGCGAGGCCTTGTGGATCATGGCGAGGACGAGGAGGACGGCGACGACAACGATGCGGATGAGGTCCGAGACAATCATCAGCAGGCGGCGGTCAAACGAGTCGGCAAGATAGCCGACAAGCGGAACAAAGACCAGTGGTGGGAAGCGCCGCAAGACGAGGTAGATCGAGATGGCCGTGCCGCGCGACGTTGCCAGCGAGGTGATGAGCGTCAGAGAGGCAATGTAGTTGAACCAGTCGCCAAAGGTCGAGACAAACGACGCCGCATATAGCCGCCTGAACCCACGGTTGTCCCGCAGCAGCCGGTAGTACGGCATGATGAATCCGCGCTGTGCCTTGTGCGCCTCGGCCGCTGCTGCCGCCACCGCGGCCTTGTCCTCGGCTGCTGCCGCCGCAGCCGCAGCCGCGCCCGCTGCGCCGCCCGAGGCCAGCAGCTCAGCCTCGGCGAGAGAGTCGTACGACGACATGGATCGTGTGTTGGGAGAGGGGCAGAGGAACCGAGAGCCAAGGCGTCCCGGAGTTGCGTGGTACTCCGGTGAGAGCGGGTGCGTGTGTGTGTGTGTGTGTGTGTGTGGTGTGGTGCGCTTCAATTGCGAGGATGGCTCGATCGAACCGTCTACGGCGACGCGGCAGGCGACGTGGCAGGCGACGCGGGCTAGGCGACAAAGACGACAAAGAAGACGACAAAGGCCAGAAGGACAAGAAAGATCTTGAACATGAGTCCGCGGTTCGAAGATATGCTCTTGTAGTACTTGACGAGCTCCGATTGGCCGATCTCGACGTCGCCAAGGGCCGCGTCGACGTTCTCGTCGATACGCATAACCATCTCGCGTTGCTGCTCGAGGACGACGGCAAACTCCGAGAACATCTCTGCGACGTCCTCGATGGCACCCTCGAGATTTTCGACGGCAGCGGCGCGGTCCTGGTAGTAAGTCGAGCCGGAGCGCATGACGGTGGCAAGGGCCTGGCTCTGGCCAGAGCCCGACATGTCGATGGCGACTGCGTCGTGGGGCTCGCTGTCGTCCGCAGCGCCAAAGCCTGCGGGCGACTGACGGCCAGAGCCGGCGCCAGCACCGCCAAAGAGCGATGAGGCCGGGCGGGCGCGCGGCTCAGGCCGGGCATGCAGGGCCTCGAGCCGCTCCTTCTGCGCGAGCATGATCTTGTTGCGCGACTTGAGGACCGATTGCAGGGACTGGCCGGTGACCGCGAGCTTTGTCTTGAGCAGCGAGACCACGTTGGACGAGTGCGAGTTAGCCTGCTTCGACGCGCTGCCGCCTGCTGCCTGCTGTGCCTGCAGCGTCTGCAAGTTCTTGATCTTGGCATTGAGCTCGTTGATCGTCCGCTTGATCGCCGCCGTTCGCTCCTGAATCTGGACTGTCGGGTCGTCAAACAAGGTCTTCTTCTGCGCCACCTTGGCCAGCTCATCCAGCTCCCGGGTCGTCCGTCGGATGTCTTGGCCGATCTCACCTGCAGCCCGCCACGACCACACAAGCCCGTGTCCGAGTCAAGGGGCACCCCCAAGCCAGCGTATCCGTGGATGTGAGTCCATGACGGGGTTTGCGATGTGTACCTCCACCCCCATCTCCTCCCTCTTCCTCTCTCTCTCCCTCTCCCGCCCGCCCGCCCGCCCACCCGCCCACCCCGTCCGCCTCCCTTCGGCATGTACGACCTGTACGTACGCGAGAGATGGAAAAAGTGCGAGTGCTGCGACTTGCGACCCAGCAGAGGGTCTTGCGCCGAGCCTGCGGGCTGCTGTTGCATGTTGTACGAGACACGCTCGCGGAACTCGTCCATGCGCGAGACGGCGACCATGGTGTGTGCGGGCGAGGGGGGGGGGAGGAGAGGGGGGGGAAGGGGAGGTGTGTGTGTGTGTGTGTGTGTGTGTGTGTGTGTGTGTGTGTGTGTGTGTGTGTGTGTGTGTGTGTGTGTGTGTGTGTGCGAGAGGGGTGGTGCGGCTGCAGTTCCGCCTTGCCCACCCCTGCCTCCACCCTGCCCCTGCCCATGCCAGGTTGGCAGCTGGTGTCTGCTGCCGTGGCACCGCCACCGCTACCGATTCCGCCTTCCACCGGTCTCACCCCCCCCCCCCCCCCCCTCCCCTCCCCCTCCCCCCCCTCCCCCTCCCCTTCCCCCTCCCCCCTCCCACACCTCGCCCTCGACCCACGCCCCCTCTCCCCACCCTCTTCCTCGCATGCGCCCTGCTCGTCCCGCCCGTCCGCGCCCCGCTGCAGCTGTGGGGAGCACTTTGGCTGGACGGGCGCTCACCTTTATGCTGCGCCACATGGTGTGGATCCTGTTCATCTGCATCGGCGGCACCATCGTCCTCACCATGCAATACACGGGTGCGCCTACCGGGGATGCCGGTGAGCCTCCTCCTGCAGCCGCCGCAGGCAGTGCCGGGCGAGATGCAACCGCGGCAGGTACCGCCGTCAGCAGCGATGGAGGCGATGTCGCAGATGGTGGCCTCTCTGCTGTCTGGGGCTACATGGGCATGGCCACCGTCTGCATCGGCGGCTGCCTCTTTACCGCCACCAAGGTCTCGAAGGCTCTGGCTAAGATGGACCTCCAGAGCGATGCCCACACCGTTTGAGTGCCACTACTCGCAACCGAGCAGCTGGTCGACCGACGGTGAGTCGGCCCGCCCGCGGCCAGCTACACTCGCACTGCGGCTCGACTGAGAGTTGCGGCGCGGCGTCGAGCCTCGCTGCGGCCTGGTCGCCGGCGCAAGAACAGGTGCGCTCTGCGCTGGTGACGCTGGCGACACCGACGGGCGTGGCGATGCAGCCGCTCCGCCCTTGCTCGAGCTGCCAATACCGAACAGCCGGCCAAGGAACGACCGTTTGGCCGTCGGACGACCGGACTTGACCACAAACCGCGGCGACGGCTGGATGGCCGCGCCCGGGCTTGCGGCGGCAGGCGAGGAGCTGGCCGGAGGAGCGGGACGGGCCTTTCCGCCGCCGCCACGGATGGGCTTGGCGATGTTGCGGCTGCGGCCGCGGCCGAGTGCTGCAAGCTGTGCCTCGTACTCTTGCGCCTGCAGCGCGTACTCGCGCTGCAAGCGCAGCAGTTGCTCCTCAACCTGCTCCATCCGCTCCTGCTGCGCAAGCATCTTGGTCTTCCACCCGAGCCCGACGTCTTTGAGCTTGTTGAGCTCGCCGAGCAGCTTGAGATTGGCTGCCGACAGCTGCTGGATCTTGGTCTCGAGGCCGGTCATCCGCGCCACAACCTCCTGCTGCTCGGCACCTAGCACGGTCTCATACCGAGCTGTCGTTTCAGAAATCTCGTTCTCGAGCGCCTTGACCTCGGCCGCCAACGCGGTCGCCTGCTCCGAGGCCACATCCCGCTCGGTCTGCGCCGCCTGGAGCTCCTTCCGCAGCTCGTCCTCATTGTCAGCGGAGAGCTGGGCGAGCTCTGCGGCGTCGGCGCGCGACTCGCACAGCTCGGCCGCTGCGCGCGCTGCAGAGCCCTCGGCCTCGGCCAACCGCTGGATGAGCGCCTCGCGCTGCGCCGTAAACTCGTCGTTCTTGCCCTCGGCTGCCGCCAACTGCTCGTTCAGCGCCGCCAATGCTTCGTGCATGGCCACAACTTCGTCCTCAAGTTCGGTCTTGAGGGCGAGCAGCGTGTCCTTCTCGGCTTTGAGTTCGACGGCGGCAAGCTTCGCGGCAGAGAGCGCCTCAGCGTCGGCAAGCCTCGCAGCATCGGACGCGGCTGTGGAGGCATCCGGCTCCGGGGCGACAGGCTCGTCTCCGGCGACGACTTTGTCCGTGTTGCGCACGTGACTGACGATGGTGTCAGGGGCAGCTTGAACGGTTGCCACACCCTCGCCGGCCACTTGCTCATCAAGGAGCGAGAGGAGCGCATCTTGCGTCTCGCTGAGTCGGGTGTTCTCGGTCTGCAGCCGCTCGATCTCGTCCAGGAGCATGGCAACCTGATCGGCCGCGCCATCGTCGTCAGTGACAGACTCGTCCGCTGCGGAAGCCTCAGTGGCTTCCGCGACGACGACCGACTGAGGTGCGGCAGTCGAGGGGGCGAGTGTAGGAGCGAGTGAGGGGGCGAGCGCGGGGATGCCCTCCCGCTCAGGCTCGGATTCCCCCTTCTTGTCGGCTCCAACCACTGCCGAGCCACAGACGCACCCGGCCAACCGAGCCTGAAGGCGCTCGATGATGGCAGTCTGCTCCTTAATGATGGCTTCAAGCTCAGCGGGCGCACGTTCGACGTTGAGCGAGACCTTGTTCTGGATGCGCTTGGCCCGCGAGCCGAAGCGGAGCGTCGAGAGCGTCTCGTCAGCATTGAACGAGGCAAGCGAGCAGTTGATGATGAGGGTGGTCTTGGCATTGCCACCGAGCGACTCGGAGAGGACGCGGGTGAGCTTCGAGTTGCGGTAGGGGATGTGCGAGGCGCTGGGATCGGTGAGGGCGTTGATGACAAGGCCAAGGGTGGTGAGCGAGAGGTTGATGTTCTTGGCCTCGGTAAAGGTGGTACCCTCTGCGCCGGTTTTGGAGACTTTTTCGGAGCCTGCAAGATCGATGAGTGTGAGCTTGCCTGTCGACGACGCGAGGCTGACGGTGTCCTTGGCGGCAACCTCGATGGTGAGCAGCGAGTGCGAGCGCGACGACTGGGCGTTCATCTGGGTGGCTCCGACAGCACGGTTCGAAGCGCCTTCAGCCATGATGGCCATGACTTCGTCAACCGACGAGACGTATACCTCGGTGAGGCCCTCGACGTAGACACCACGGCGGACGTCCTGGCGAATGGCGAGGTCGGCGCCGGCTGGATTGAGCAGATCGCGCAGCCGCTCGAGATAGATTTCAAAGTACGAGACGCGGACGGTGAACTCGTACTTTGCGTCTGCATCGAGAATGGCGTCGAATATGTCCTCGACCATGCGCGGAATGATGCCCTTGAGCTCGGGCGAGGCGATGTCCGGCCCCTCCATGGTGTGGGTCTTGCCCGATCCAGTCTGCCCGTAGGCAAAGACCGTCCCGTTGTATCCGGCAAGCACGTCCTCCACAATGGGTCGCGCTGTCTGGGTATACACCGCTTCCTGGCTTGCACCAGGCCCAAACACCTTGTCATACGCAAACGTCAGCTGGTCGTACTCGTGCAGGCCGTACACCACCTGCCCGCTCTCCTCGTCGAGCCGCGCCGCAGCCACAGAGCCTGCCGCCGCCTCGCGTGCGTCCATGGGCCGAAACCGACACACCACGTGCACGTTGGACGCTCCACCCCCACCGCTCCCACCGCTCCCGTTTCCACTCATACTGGTAGCTGTCGTGCGAGAGGTGTTACTCGCCGCCGTAGCCTGCCGGCCGCCGGCAAGCGGCCCACCGTCGGTTCCCACCTCGGGCGCTAGCAACAAGACACGGGTGTTACTCCAGGCGCGCATTCAAACGAGTGTTACTCCAGGGCGTACTCAAACGAGTCCTCGGACAGATCATCAAGCTCAATCTGTGGACCGCCATCGCGTCGGCCATGGCTCTGCTCGGGCCCGAACGAGGCGGCAAAGTTGGGGATCTCGGTGCCGGCGCCGGCGGTAGACGACGAGGGCACGGCGTGGACCGGCGGCTCTGCACGAGGAGAATCCGGCGCCGAGCCGGAGGCCGAGGCGGACGGGGCGGCGAACTCGGGAGCGGGAGCGGGAACGGAACCGGCGGGGCTGTCGCGAAGGAGCTTGGCGACCTCGGCCTTAAGGACGACGACGAGCTTGGCGCGGAGCTCGCGGTCGAGGCCGTGAGTGAGCGAGAACTGGCGTGCGACCTTGGCCGGGTCGTCGCGCCGGCGGAGCGGAATGCGCGCAATGCGGTCGGGCCCTAGCTTGACCTCGACGAGGAGGTCGGGCAGATGGGCAGTGACCTTGCGAACCTTGGGCTGGATAGGGACGGGCCTGTTGGTCGACGCAGGGGGGGCAAAGCCCTCGATGGAGGTGTTGGCCGCCAGCTGCGCCTCCGCCGACTTGCGGGCTAGCGTGTCTGCAAACTGAGTGGAGAACATGGCACCGCGCGGAGCCTCGCGGAGCATGATCTCCTCTCGCACCTCCTTGGCCTTGCGCAGCCGCTCGACTGCCTCCTTGTAGCCCTTGGGCTCGGCCGTAGCGGGACGAGATGTCTTGCGGCCACGCTTGCGGCGGGCGCGACGTTTCTTGCCGCCATGCGCAGCGGCGTACGAGCCGGCGCGGCCAGACGAGGCTGTAGACGGGCGCTTGCGTGAGCTGCGCTTGCGGCGGGCGGGCTTCTTTTTGCCAGGCAGCGGGGCAATCAAGTCGGCAAGCGTTCGGGCGTTGTCGACAGCGACCTCAACAGCGGCCTTGCGCTCAGCGCCGCGGGCGGCGTAGGCCTCGATCTGCTCGGCGTGGACGACGTCGTGCTTAGACTGGAGGTGGCGGCGGGCAGCGGCCGAGATTGACGACTTGGACGCCGAGTTGATGGCCGGCTTAAAGGTGCACTCGGCCATCTCGCGGCGGAGGTGGACCATGCGGGTGACCTTTTTCTTGGCCTCGGCCTCTTGGGCCTTGCGGTAGAGCTCTTGTGCGTAGAGGAGCGGGTCGACGACCGATGCAGCCTCGCCGTCGGCACGCGAGGTGTTGTTGATCGTTGGCCGGAAGGTGCAGTCGCGGAGCGCGTCCTCGGTCGCCGCGTTGGCGCGCTGCTCGTCCATGTGACCGACTTTGAGCGTGGCGACAACGGCAAAAGCGAGCTCGTTCTTGCAGTGCTGGCGGAACGACTCGAGGAGCTGAGAGAAGGCATCCTCGGGCTCTGCCTCGGTCGGGAGCGACTCGTTAAAGTTGTACAGCATCGAGGTCAGCGGCTTGGCCAGAGGCTTGTTCTCAAGCCCTAGCATCTGAGACGAGATGCGGAGCTTGGAGGTGTGGACCGGGTCGGCGGTCATGACCACGTCAAAAGCCTTGAGGAAAAGGCCGAGAAGGCTTCCTTCGTTGAGCCGACCGCTCCCGACGCCTGCGAGAGGTAGTTGAACAGTTCGAGCGCAAGCTCGTCCTCGTTGGTCCGCATAGTTAGCGAGCGGCCGGGGAGGTCGGAGAAGAGCTTGAGGTCAACGAGGCAAGCCTTCAGACCATCGAGCGAGAGGTGGGTGTCAATGACGTGGGCGTCAAAGACCTCGTCAAGCCGGGCAGAGAGCTTGCCGCGGAAGATGCCAATCGAGTTCTTGGAGATCTTGGGCATGGCGGCATGGCGGGCGATGAGAGTCCGCTGGCGCTCCGCGGCGACACGGCGCTTGACGCGAATAAACTTGGCCTCGTCGTAGAGTCGCACGTCCGAGTTGGACGTTGACGCCGCCAGGTACGACCGCACAGCGTTCATCAGGCGGCGGGTCGAGTTGTTGCCGCTGCCGTCGTCGGCGGCATACCGGTGGATGTTAGGCGAGTGGCTGAACTCTTCGGCCTCGCTTTTGACAGCGGCGATGCGGGCCTGCATTTCACGCCGCTCCTGCCGCGCCTTGGCTTCCTCAAACAGCCGCTCGTGGATCTCGCCGTCCCGGACCAGCGACTTGGAGTATGACGAGATCTCGGGGTGGAACGGGTACATGGCTGTCTCTGAGTAGCGTGCTTCCAGTTCGCGGAGGTGGTCCTGCGTCGCCAGCTCTTCGGTCCGCATGTGCTCGAGCACGTCGCGCGGCCGGCTTCGCTCCGCCGCCGACACCTGGGTTTGCGAGACAGAGATGTCCGGCTGAAAGGTGAGCTGGGCCTTGCGGTCTTCCTCGACCCGCCGCTGCAGCTCTTCTATCCGCCGCGCGCGCTCGGCCTCGTACCGCGCCGAGCGCTCCTCGAACGATCCCGCGACCTGGATCGATGCTGCCATCTGCGAGATGCGCGGCTTGAACGAGAATGCGTCGGCCTCGGCCTCACGACGGGCCTTTTCTTCAGCCGCACGCTGGGCCTCGCGTGTCTGGCGTTCTTGTGCCTGCTCGTAGAGCGTCTCAAAGTGTGAGGTCTCACCGGAAAACATCTCGGCCGCCAGTTGAGCCGAGACCCCGCCGACTTTGAACCGCGGATGGGTCCCCTTGGCTGCCGCCGCCGCTGCCGCGCGCTCAGCTCGGCGGGTTTTGCGCTCCTGAGCGTCGCGGTAGAGCGTCTCAAACGCCGAATTGCCAGCGCCAGATCTAGCGCCAGCAGGCTTGGTCTTCTTGGCCTGCCGCGGTGGCGAGGGCGAGGGCGAGGGCGAGGGCTCTTGCGGCGGCGAGAGCGAGGGCGATGCTGCGGACGGTGCAGCTGGTGCGGGCGGCGGCGTGGAGACAAGGTCTGTTGCAGACTTTTTCTTGTCCTTCCGCTTGCCCTTTCGCTTGTGCTTGTGCTTGTGCTTGCGGGCTGGCGATGCGGGCGCCTCTGTCGGGGCAGCACCCGCCGCCTGGTCGTACAGCTGCGGTGGTGACGACATGGATGGGCTTCAGGAGGAGAGGTGTGCCCGGGTAGTTGTATGTGTATGTGAGAGTATATGTGTGCGTGTGTGTATATGTACGTGCGTGTGTGTGTGTGTGTGTGTGTGTGTGTGTGTGTGTGTGTGTGTGTGCTGCAGGCCTTGGTAGGCTGTGGTGGCTGTGGTGACTGAGGTGGGGTGGTCGGCGGGGCGTTGGCGCCAACGGTCTCCACCCATGGCCCATTCATCCGTTGGCTGCCGCTCGTTCGCGCGTTCATTTCATTCAGCCGTTGTCTCGTTCTTTATTCCGACCACCTCGTCGCATCTGGAAGTACTACACTAGCAAAAAGACCCTGGTATGTGCCTAGGCAGGAGGGATGTGGACAAGATATATAGAAGGGGTTGGAACGTGAGGAAGCGTGTGTGTGCATGTGCACGCATGTGCGTCTTGGGTCCGGTGTAGGAGACTGTCAGGGGAGGGGGGTGATGATCGGCCACGGGCTTGGCGCGCGTCCGTGGCTCGCTTGTGCGGGTGGTCCCAGGGAGGGTACATGAGAGTGGCTCACACATGCGCTACGGGTTATAGATGAAGCTCGGAAATGTGGTTGTGGCCGCGCTGCTGTTTCTGGCGTGGCTGTTTGTGGTAATCGGCATGGGCACGCTCGGATGGATGACGTCGGACAAGAACGGCGCAAAGGTCGACGTCGGCCTCCTGCGGTACTGCGTCGAGGCGCCGGGCACGTCGACGTGTAACTCGCTGAGCAAGATCGGCGAGAACTCGGCTGATGCCAGCAGCTGCAAGAAGATCAAGCACGGCGGTGGCTTTGCCTTCTCTTTCCTGCTCTTTGCCATCTTCCCGGGACTCATCGCCATCGCCACCAACGCCATCGCGGCTGTCGAGATGGAGGTCGGTCCGCTGGACGCTGCTCTCCTGCCCAAGCTCAACTTTGCACTCTCGACCGCCTTTGCTGTCCTTACCTTTATCGCGTGGATCTTCTACTGCATCATCTCGTACTCGACCAAGTGCTACAAGGATTCGTTCAAGGCCGGCTACTCGTTTGCCCTTGTTGTTGTCGGCTTCTTCCTCTTCCAGCTGCCTGCTGCTGGCCTCAACGCCTGCGAGTTCCTCGGCATCGCTGTTCCTGGCCTTGTCGAGGGCGGCGGTGCAGGAGGTGCCCAGGCTGGTGGCGTCTAGATTATAGACACTGTGAGGCAGAGATAAACACCATGTTCACTGTCACCCGGAGCTCCGCTTTGGCCGTGACCGCTCCTTCTTGGACGGTGACTCGCCCTTGCTGCCGCTGCGGCTGCGCCGCCGGCGCCGGCCCTTCTTCCCATCGCTCTCAGGTACGGAGCCGGCGTCGACACGCTTACGCGATCGTCGCTTCCGGCCCTTGCTCCTGCGCTTGCTCTTGCTGTGAGGCAGCTCGTCCGTCTCCGGCGCACCACCGCTCTTGCGCGACCTGCGCTTCCGCCGAGCCTTACCTTTGTCGCCCTTGCTTCGCCGCCTCCGTCCACTGCCGGCCTTGTCAGTCTTAGCCTTTGCTTCCGGTGAAGCCTGGGCACTTCGGCGACGCCGCTTGGTCTTTGCCGGGCTTTCGCCAGCGTTGCCCGTCTTTGGCTTTGGCTTTGATTTGATCTTAGCCTTGGACTTGGCCTTGGACTTGGCCTTGGACTTGGCCTTGGACTTGGACTTGGCCTTGGACTTTGCCTTGGACTTTGCACTGTCGTTGCCCTTTTCCCCGCGCTTGCTCTTCTTGTCCGGACTTGCCTTGGATGATGCATCAAGATCGGCGTTCCACGGCGCTGACGAGCCAGAGCGGGCACCCGAGTCGGTGACCACTGACATTGTCGATGACGCCGCCGAGTACAAAGAACCATCGAAACTGTATGACGACGAGGCCGAGGCCGAGTCCGAACCCGAGGCCGAGCTGGAGCCCGAGTCCGAGGCCGAGGCCGAGCTCGAGACCATTGTCCGCGCCGTGACCGACGACGACGACGAGATGGTCGAGTCGGCCGACGATCCAAACTTCTCGCCAAATGCCGCCTCAAAGTACCGCTTAAAGTCGCGGGTGGCAGCTGAAGCTTCGGCGGCGCGCCGCGAGGTGGCCGACTCGGATGAGTCCGAGCCCGAGCCCGAGCCCGAGCCCGAGCCCGAGCCCGAGCCCGTGTCCGAGCCCGAGCCCGAGCCCGAGCCCGAGCCCGAGCCAACACCGGCCTTGGCCTCGAGCTCCTTGTTCTTGGCAGCGACGTAGGCGAGGGCCGACTCGGTGAGCGCCAGCTTGTGCATGAGGGCTGCACGATGTGCTTGGGTCATCGAGTTGGACCATGCAAGGCTCGAGTTGATCGCCTGGCTCTGGGCGAGCTGCGACGAGATGTCGGCGCGGTCCTTGGCCAGCTTGCGAACCGAGTCTTGGTCGGCAGCGAGCTGGCGAAGGTTGAGCCGGTTCTCGTACTCGAGCGACGAGAGCGCAGTCTTTGCGGCGTGGAGCTCGGCCTCGAGCTCGGCCGATTGTGCCTCAAACTGGCGCTTGACTGCGGCATCGGCGTGGAGACCACTGTTGGCAGTCGCCGACTCCGACGCCATTGACTGCATGCTTGCCAGGTTGGTCGAGAGCCGGTTGGTGAGCTCTACCAGCCGATTGCGCTCTGACTCGAGCATCTTGAGCTCTTCGGCCATGTGCAGGTATTCGAGCTCGGTCGACGCCGCCGACTGGTCTGCACGCTGTCGCTCGCGCTGGACCTTCCGCTTGGCCTTACGAAGCGCGTCGGCCAAGGCTGCGTTCTCAGCCTGCAGCCGCGCCACCGCCTCGCCGCCGCCAACAATTTGGATCGGAATCGCTCCACCCGGCGTGACCGGCACCGGTCCGCGCGCCAGCGAGCCGGGCACCGCCGCCGTCGGGTCCGTCTCACCCGGTCCGGCCACCACCACCGCCGCCCCGGCCCGGAGCGCCGCGTTCTCCGACTCGAGATCTGCAATTCGTTGAAGCAGCGCAGCAACGTCGGTCACCGCACCCGACGGTTGCGAGTGCGGCTGCAGCTTCGGCTGCGGCTGCGGTGGCGGTGGCGTCTGCGGTGGCCGTGTCGCGTATGGGTCGGCCGCCGAGACGGCAGTGTTCCCCAACGGCGCCGCCCCCGCCGACATCTCGGCTGCCTCCTTGGCCGCATCCTGGGCCACCCCCTCGGCCACCGCGGATGCCTCGGCCTGCTTGCCGGCCTCCTCGCCTTGCGCTGCTTCCTGCTTGCGGCGTAGCTGGTACTCGCGGAGCTGCTGCTGGATGGTCGCCGACATGGCCGGTGCTTGCTCGTGTTCCGAACTTCGGAGAAGACGAGTGCAGCAGGCCGAATGCGAATTTGCGGCCACTGGGCGTGCTCTCGGTCTGGAGGTGCATTCATTTCTTGCGCGGCTCGACCTTGAGCGAGAGCTTGTACAGCGCACGATCATCGGTTGGATTGGAGGTGACCTCGGCAATGCTAGAGGTGAGGAGGCTTTTGACCTCGGCAACTTCAAAGAACGGGAACGACGCCCGCCGCCAGTGGAGGGCAAGCTGGATGGCGTTGGCGATCTGGTAGCACTTGTCAAAGTTGACGAGACCGTCGCCGACGTAATCCTCATTGCCTTCCTCGATGAACACCAGATCGCCCATGTACATACCGAGGTACGGGATGACCGGAACTTCCATGTAGTCGGCAACCAACCGGCGGTACTGCGCATAGTTGCCGAGCGCCGAGAGCGAAGCTGTGATAGCCTCGAACCGCGACCGCCGCGTCTCGTCGACCTCTTTCCACGTCTTGCGCAGCCGCGACACAGCCGCCGACGAGAGGCCCGAGACCAGCTCCATGGCGCCGTTAAAGTTGCGGATGGCAAAGAGCTTGTCAAGGATGTCGATAAAGGTGCGGAGGATAGCGGCGCGTGTCTTGACCGAGGCCTCGGAGAGGAGCGCGACTTGGACCCACTCGGTTACTCCGTTAAAGTGGTTGATGAGGGCGAGCACGTTGGGTGCGCGGGTATCGGCGTCGTCACGCGACCATGCAAGGTCCAACAGCTCATGCTTGCCAATCTGTCCGTACAGCTCGTGCTCTATGAGCGAGAGCTGCCGCGCTGCCTCCATAGGGTCGACGTTGAGGAGCTTCAGCCGCGCGCCGCGCGTCGCTGCCATCCGCGGAATTACTATCGACGACGTTGTCGTCTCGGTCGTCTCTGAGCCAAAGTCATCATCATCACCGACCTCGAGTCCCAGCAGCTTGTTCTCGAGCAGGACCCGGAGCTGCCGCCCAGCCTCAGAAAAGACTCGCGAGGCCCGAAGGAGCGGGACGAGGACGTCAACAAGTAGCGCCACCATGACCGGATCGGCATGAAAGTCGAAAAAGTACGACTTGAGCCAGAGCCGGACAAGCGAGAGAATCCGGACCCGGACCGGGTGTTGCACCTCGTGCCGCCACTGCGAGTAGGCGTCAAGCCCATCGCGCGACGCCCGAATGTAGTACACGTCTGGCGTAAGCGAGAACCGAACGATGAGCCGCTGCAGTAGCTCAGCCGGCGAAAGATACGCCCGGTATGTAAGAAAGAAGACCCGGTCAAAGTCGGCATCATGCGCCAGTGGGTGGCACAAGTGCTCCACAATGTGCGGCAGTGCGCCAGACTGCAGCTGAACAGTCGGCCGCACGTCCTCGCCATCAGCCCCGACGCCGCCGCTCGGTCCGAGGATCTCAAACGTGAGCTGAGCCCGGTGCCGCTGCAGATCGTCGATCGATGGCAGGGCGAGCGGGTGCTGGGAGAGTCGGGCTACCAGCGCGGCCGAGTCGCCACCTGCCTCGGCGAGCGCAACCCTGATGCGGTCTGCAAGTGGGACGAGGCCCCACTCATGCCACGCTGCCCACTTGGCCAGTGCCTTGGACTCCAGCTTTCGCAACGCGACACAGAGCAACATCTCGAGTTGGACGGTGAAGAGGGTGACCGACTCGAGTTCGGCCTCGCGGATGCGAACCTTAGTCTCAGTCGACTCGACATCCTGTTGCGCCATTGCCAGCGAGCCATCGATCTCCGACAGCATTTGCAGCAGTTCTTCGGCTTCAGACAGCTGCCGACCCGAGCCGCCCAAGCGACCGGAGCCGACCCTTGCGCCTGAGTCGTCCAGCGCCAGTAGCGAAGTCATCGACCCGCTGCGCCCCGTCTCGCTCTGCTTGGCTTGCTGAACCGGCCCGCCAGCCTTGCGCTTGCCGGGTACCTTGGCGTGGTCAAGCAGGACACGGACCACGCCCATGATCTTCTCTACCGGCACGATGAGGAGCCGATTGGCATCGCGGGTGATGAGCATGTTGCCGAGCGCCATGATGACGATGATAAAGACAAGGATTGCGATGTTGAAGATGGCTTGGATGACTTCGGTCTCCTTCACGTCGATCCATGCCACCGACGCCTTGCTTAGCGACATACCTTCCTGAATGTATACCTCGCGGACGCGCGAGGCCTGTTCGATCGTGCCGTAGACCTCCACATCAGAGATAGAGAGCCAGAGCAGTGACGAGCCGTAGGCCTCGAGAAACGAGGCCAGCGGGCCGTTGACAAAGGTGGGACTGGTGACGCCGCCCAGCGCGGCGGCTGAATCTTCCAGCGCCGACACGCCGGCCGTCACGTGGTGCCGCCACGGCGCAGTGATTTGAGCAATAGAGGTGACCAGGAACAAGATGAGGACAATGGCGATGACCTTGTTGGTCGTCCGGTTGATGAGCCGCGAGCCGAGGCGACTCGGCTCGCCGAGCGTCGTCACCTCGCCGCCTCCACCGCCGGCGTCGCTTGCGGATGTCGACATCGCTGCGGGCGCGCTGCGGTTAAGATTTGTCTCGAGCGAGTCGATGACGTTGTCATCGGCCGCTATCTCCGAGTGTCCGCGCTGCACAATGCGTGCAAACTTGACAACACGGACAACACGGACGAGGCGGGCGGCACGCGCTGAGGCGCGGGCGGCTCGCCCAGTTCGGGCCACAGCCAGCGCCGAGACCAGCGTCACAATGTCGTAGTCAGCGACGAGAAGGACAACATCGGGCGCAAACGAGACCAAGGCAAGGACATCGAGCCAGAAGAAAAAGGTGAGAAAGTAGTCTTTTGGCTTGACCACAGACGTCCACACCAGCTCCACGAGGAAGCAGAGAAAGACAAAGTTCTTGGAGATGAGTAGGTACAAGTCGAGGCTGTCATCCTTGTCCGGCGCAACAATGATGAGTGTGTCGTCGGCAAAGAGAACAAAGAGAGTGATGACAAGCATAAAGATGGTGACCGGGATCGAGTCGAGGAATCGGATCGACTTTTCGCGCCAACGCGAGCGGCGAGGCGCCGCCTCATCGCCTGCAGCCTCGTTCGAGTCTGGTGCACTGGCGTCGGTCTTGCTTCCGGCCTTATTGGTGAGCGCGGCGCTTGAGCCAGCGGTGCCGCGCGGCGTGGACACGGCGGCCGCGCCTTGTGCGGCTTCGTCCGAGCCCGACGACGACCACGACTTGCCGTCTCCGCCAGGCAGAGCGTCGAGTTCGATCGGGCCAGCAGCATTACTCTCGTCGGCAAAGTCGAGGGCCACCGTGTCGCCAATGTCGTCAAAGTCAAAGTCATTGAGGTCGAGCGCATCATCGTCAATGTTGATGTCAAAGCCCTCGCCAATGGCGTGGAGCGAGGATGAGGCCTTCTCCAACAGTTTGGTGCTTCCACCGGCGTTGGGATTGTTCACCACGTGGACCGCTGAGAGCGAGCGCCGCCGTGGCTTCAAGCGGTACATCTTGATCGAGTCGCGCTGAAAGGTGTCGTCTTCCAAGTCGACAATCTGCTGCGAGAAGAAGCCCGATGCCGGCCGCTTGCGGTGGAGCGCCGCCGACGACCGCGAGAGCGGTGTCGAGATGGGAAAGTTGACCATCGACGCGTCTGAGCCTGCAGGCGTTCCGAGATCGTCCACGTCCTGGACGTTGCCGCGGCGCGAGCTCGATTCAGAGGAGGGCGACGCGCTCGAAGGCGAGGGTGACGATGACGACGACGTCGTCGAGTCTGTTGACGACGCCGCGTTCTGTACATGGCGAAGTGGTGAGGAGCGAGCGGGCGGATGGGCTTTGCGGTGCCGGACCGGGCGACGGATGCTGCATCGCGACGAGCTTGAGCTCGAGCTCGAGCCCGACGACGAGTCCTGGAGCGTGTAGCCGAGCGCGTGTGGATGAGAGGCAAGCGGCGAGCGGACAAGGCGCGGCGAGGGGGAGTTGGGTGCGAGTGCCAGTCCGCACACCGACTCTGAGTTTGAGCCCGACGAGCTCAGCGCCAACGACGGCTCTTCCAGCTGTGCCAGGAATGCCAGGTCCGCGTCGTCCGAGTAGACAGAGAGCCTACTGGCCCGTTTGGCCTGCTGATGGCGGGCGGCCATGACCGGCGGTGTGAGTGTGTGGCGGTGGCGGCGGAGAGGGAGAGGGAGGGAGGTAGAGAGAGAGGGTGGAGTAAAGTAGGGTGGGAGAAGTGTGGGTGTGGGTATGTGCGCTCCAACGTCTTGCCGCCAGACCAGGGCCAGACCCGCAGTTGGCTCCTACCGCCCAGTCAAGTCAACAAACGTGCCGCCGACTGACATGCCTGCCCAATAGCAACGACTATTTTGCCACTGGGGCGGTTAGTCACCACCGCCTGCCACATTGTTCGCTCCGGTCATTGCCCTTTGTCGCGCCGCGAATTGGCGGCTGAGGCCGAGGCGTGGGGTGCCGGGCGAGCTGGCCGAAGGGGGTAGGGCGAGGAGGGGAGGGAGGGAGGGGGGCGACGAGGGGCCGGACACCCGACGCTGTGGCTACTGGGGCAGGGAAGATGGAAGCCCGGCTGCAGGCGCAGCTTGTGCGAGAGAAGGAACTGCGTGAGTCGGTAAGTGGCTTGTGTGCGGTTGGTGAATGTAGTGTGTGTGAGGGGAGGAGGGGGGGGGAGGGGGGGCGGTTGGCAGCCACAAACCGTTTTTGGCTGTTGGAGGCAGTCAGGCGGATACCCTTGGGTTGCGGCACAGGATACGGGACTCACTGGCAATGGGAAACTGCGGGACTGGGTGGTGGCGACAGCTGGCGCGGGAGCTGGCGGATGCCAAGATCGAGCTGGCGCATGCTGAGGGCAATCTGCGTGTTGAGAAAAATTCACCGGCAAGCTCAAGGTCGAGTGCGACAAGCTGCTGATGGACGTGCGGACGCTGAGCAGCGAGAAGCAGGTGGTGACCGAGGCTGCGGCGCGGGCAGAGGCTGAGGCTGCGCGGTTGGCGGAGGAGCTTGCGGAGAAGGCGCACGTGCTGGATCTTGCGCGCGAGCAGAACGCCAAGCTGGTGGCGCTGGTCAACGAGACCAACGCGCAGCGGCTCGCCAAGAACCAGGATCTCATCACACGCGAGGACGAGCTTGAGACGGAGCTCCACTCGTACTACGCCACGCTCAAGGATCGCGAGGCGACGATCAATGGGCTGGAGGAGGAACTTGCGGCGCTCAACGGGGTGCGCGACGAGCGCGACTCGCTGCGAGTGGCGGTGAAGGACGCGGAGCGCAAGATTGCTCGGATGCACGAGCGAGCGGAGGAGGCAAAGACGGAGAACGAGCGTCTGACGGCTGCGGTGGCGACAGCGCGCGAGCAGTTGGAGCCGCTTGCGCGCGAGCGTGATCGCGCGCGTCGCGAGCTGACCTCGGCCACCCGCGAGCTCAAGTCTGTCCGGGCGCGGGCGGCGTCGCTCGAGAGCCGGTTCGAGGTGCTGCAGCAAGAGGAGACCAAGGAGCGGGCCGAGCTGGCATCACTGCTGGACGAGGCGTCGTCGCTGCGGGAGCACTACGAGGACTCGATCGCCAACTACGTGGTCGAGCTGGAGAAGCTGCGGCAGGATGTACCGCTACTCGAGGCCGAGAAAGCGATCCTGCAGACCAAACTCGCCGAGTTTGAAGCGGATCTGGTGTCCGAGGTGGCGCGGTCGGGCGACGACCATGCGGCGCTGCTGGAGACGCGCAAGGCGCTGGGCGAGGCGACTACGCTCAACGACTCGCTGCTGAGCCAGCTGCGCAAGGCCAACGCCGAGGTGGAGCGACACACCCGGCTGGCATCGCGGTCCAAGGCGACGATTTCGGAGCTGCGGCTCGAGGTGGCGCGGCTGGAACACGAGAAGCTGGAGGCCGAGACGGCGGCAGCGTCAGCACGGGCGGCAGCCGACGAAGCCAAGGCGCTCAAGGACCAGGCGCTGGCCAAGGTCACCAATCTGACGACCGAGTACACGGCGGCGCTCGACGCCCGCAACGCGGCTGAGCACAAGATCAACGCGCTTCGGCTGGAGCTCTCGCTCAAGTCTGCCGAGTCGACGACGCGCGACACCGATCTCGGCGTGCTCAACACATCCATCTCCGAGTCACGGTCGGCACTCAAGTCGATGCACGACATGAACATCTCGCTCGAGCGCGACGTAGACGCCATGGCTTCGGAGCTTGCACACCGGCGCGACCTCCTCCGCGACGCCGAGAGCAAGGTGGCCGAGCTGGAGGCTGCAGTTGAGGCTGCCGAAGGACGGGCGGCTGCTGCCGAGGCGACGGCCGACGCCGCCACAACAGCCGCGGCCGACGCCGAAGCCAAGGCCGCGGCCGACGCAGCGTCGGCCGAGCGCTTTGCCGCCAAGCTCGACAGTGCCAAGGCCGAGGCCAAGGCGCTGCTGGAGGAAAAGGCTGTGCTTGTCAACCAGATTGCCGAGCTCGAGGAGGCTGCGGCGTCGCTGCAGCGGACGTCGCAGGTCAAGGAGACGCAGGCCCACAACGCTCAAAGGTGCGCGATCAGTCGGCGCTCGAGGTCGAGCGGTTGCAGTCGTCGGTTGCGTTCCTCGAGGGCGAGGTGGCGGCGCTCGAGAGCCGCAACGCTGAGCTGGTGGCCACGGTCGACGAGCTGACCGGCGAGCGCGATGACGCGGTCGACCTCAACTCGTCGTACGCGCTTGAGGCCGAGATGGGCGAGCCGCTTGACGCGGCTGCGCTGCGGGCGCAGCTCCGTGAGGAGCTTGACGCTGACTTTGCGCAGCAGCGCGTGGCGTACGAGGCACAGATCGAGCAGCTTGAGGCTTCGGTCTCTCGCCTCCGCGCCGACATCGAGACGTACCAGACTTCCATCGACGAGCTGGTCCAGGAGTCACAGGCCAAGGCCAAGGAGGACGAGGCTGAGTTGACCCACAACAAGCGCCAGGTTCGTGAGGCCATGCTCGAGGTCGAGGCTGTCAAGGCCGACCTCTCGCACACGCAGACCCGGCTCGAGTCGGAAAAGATCCGCGTGGCGGAGCAGCTCGAGGCCCGCGAGGAGCTCGAGACCCAGGTGGCCGCGCTCCGCGAGGACCTCGCCGCTGTCGACACGCTCAAGGCCCAGCTCGAGGCAACCAAGAGCGATCTGGCCATGGCCTCCAAGCTCCGTGTCGAGGCCCAGGCCCGCGCACTTGCTGTCGAGACCGAGCTCAACTCGCTCAAGCGCACTGCCGCCGCGCTCGAGACAGCATCGTAGCTTCTGTGTTATGTCAGCTGGTGGAAGACGGTAAAGTGACGTGTGCTGGCGTCGCCTATGGCGAGTTGCAGCTGACTCGGCCACACTCGACTGTGCTCCTCATCGACATGACGGACGCTGTCTCTGGAGCCATTGCCACGACTACCGGTGCTGCGGGAGGCCAGACGAGCGGAGCTGGCCCTGTGGCCGGAGCCAGTGGTGACGCTGCAGCGCCGTCGTCGTCGCTGCTGTGGAACGTGGCCAAGGCTGCGGGCGCGGCAGGCGCCGTCCTGGTTGCCGGCGCGTTCTACCTGTGGAAGGCGGCCCAGGCCGAGCGCCGCGAGGCTGTCAACGCCGTGAAGCGCCGCAAGTACATCATGAAGTCGTACGTGTCAGAGTGGGTGGGTGGGGGGGGAGAGGGCGGGTGGGGGGGGGGGCAGCGGAGGGGAGGGAGGGAGGGAGGGAGGATCCCGGATGGGGAGGGGGGGAGGGGAGGGGGGGAGGAGCATGCGGGGAAGGGATGCATGGGATGGAGCTCATGAGCTGTGGAGGGTGTGGGCAACGGGGGTGTGGGGTGGGGGTGCAGGCACCGTAAGAAGGCTGAGCGTGGGGCGCAGAACGTGCCGTTCTTCGACGGGGTGGACCTGGTCGACGCGTCGGGAACGCCGGGCTTCCGGGTGACGGCCGACAAGGAGGTGATTGTGCTGTACATTGCCGCCGGGTGGTGCCCGCCGTGCCACACGTTTACGCCTCTGCTGACCAAGCTGTACAATCAAGCGATCGAGGAGCGGATGCCTGTCGAGGTGGTCATGCTCTCGGTGGATCAGTCCGCCGACGACATGCTCAAGTACATGTCCAAGGCCGGGATGGACTGGCTCGCCGCCGAGTACTCGCAGCGGCCGACGATCTTCCAGCGTGTGGGCGAGATCTCGGACATTCCGACGGTCATTGTGATGACTCCCGACGGCCGGATCCTTGATCGCGAAGCCCTTGCCCCGCTGGTGCAGGACGGCATGCTCGCTTTTCACAAGTGGCTCGCCGAGTCGCGCAACGAGGAGTGGGTCGACCCCAACGACCCGGATGCCAACCATCCGTACCCGCTCATGCGCAAGCTGGACGACTTTAAGCTGTGAGGTACAAGGTAGCTCGGGTAAATGCCAGTAGATGCCAAGCCAGCGATGCGTGCATACTTGGGCTCAGTCAGTCGGCTTGGTGTCGTAACAGTGATGCTCCCAGAGCACGTCCTTACCGGCAAAGGTTCGGGTCCCGTCCTCGTGGACAAAGGCGTGGATGATCCACCACTCGAACATCCACAAGCGTGAGCCGCCCGTGTGGCGGGCGTTCCACTCGCGACAGATGTACCGCCCGTAGCCGAGCCGAAGCGCTGGCACGTCCGAATACCCCTGGCCCCAGATAAAGGCCTCGTAGATCTTGAACCAACGGTGGTTGCCGATGTCGCCCACAAGTGTGTCGGGTCGCTCCCACGTCAGTGGTGAGAGCGTCTCAAACTTGAATAAGCCGGCGTTGGGAAAGAGGTCGCCCTGTGTGTCGTCGGTCAGGTTGGCCTTGATGACAAAGTGCCACTGCGACTTTGGCGGGTGGGGCGAGAACATGCTCCACATCTGCCCGATGTGGAGAGTCGGTCCGATCCAGTGGATCTCGGCGGGAAGGCCGCGGTACGCGTTGACGTTGGCGAGGCACCAGAGGAGGATGAAGAGGATGCAAAAGAGCGCAAAGATGTTGCGCCACGCCCAAAAAACGAGCGAGGTAAAGTCGCGCGACTCGGCGACAAGCGCGTTGCCACTCCGCTCGCTCGTCTCGACTACAACCGACGCCCGCTCAAAGCAGAGCAGCCGGTCGGCTGCGCCCGCCAGCCAGAGCATCAGCCGCGCATGGAGCTTGACCGGGCGGAACCGCAGCAGCCAGCCGTACCACCACAGCAGCGGTGAGGCGCGTGCAAGGGCAGTCAGTGCGTCCAGGCCGGTCGCCTCATCGCCGGTAGGACCGCGGACAGCCAGCCGAGGCGCGGACGGCGCGTCGGAGCCGCGCACCATTTTGGCGCCTCGCAAAAGGCCCAGCTCGAGCGCCGCGCACGCCAGCCAACGATACAAAGGCTTGCGCGGCGAGTAGACGATGGTGAGCGGGGTTGAAAAGGCTGAAAAGCGCCGAAGGAACGTAAATACAATGTCGTCCCAGAACATCGGTGGAATGAACGCGGTCTGCGCCGCCATGGTGATGTAGGTAAACATGGCGAGGCGCATGGCAAGGCCAAACGAAAAGTGCATAAAGGCAAAGCCAAAGGCACCGAGGAGCCGGCACGGGCCGGTGGCAAACGGAACAAAGTAGAGCATCGGCCCGTACTTTTCCCACTTCCACACGGCCCAAGTGAAGAACCGCAGCCAGGCGTCGGGCATCATGAGCAGAAAGTCACCCATGGGCTTTCGGAAAAAGTCGAGCTGAAGCGCGTAGAACGTTGCTGTGTAGTCGACAGTCCACTCGTGGCCAGACTTGTGGTAGACCGAAAAGACGTACATGATGCAGATCTGAAACATGTACGCAAGCGTGGTAAAGTCGGCAATCGTCCGGGTCGGCGGCAGAGCGTCCACCACGTCGGCCTGGTGCGGCGAGACAAGGATCGCAATGGCCTCGTCTCGGGCATCAGCTTCGCCGTTCATGTGCAGGGGTGAACCGTTGCCGACATGCATACCGCTGTCGTTGGCCACGTCACTATCGGGCCGGCGGCTCTTCAGCCGCCGCCGCAGCAGTGCGGCCGACTCGGCCGGCGTGCCGGCTTCAAACCGCGCGTTGACGGCGTCAATAGACCAGATGGTGCCGAGCGGCATGAGCATGGCAAAGAGGATCACGCACCGCTGAAGCACATCACCCGAATGCAGGCAGAGCTCGTTGCGGATCTGCAGCGAGAGAGTGCACATCCAGAGGACCAGCATGGAGAGTCTTGTCCGCCATCCGATAGCGACAGCCACAATGGCAAGCAAGTGCACGCCCCACAGAATGAGCGAGAGCGAGGGCTTGCCAGTTGCACGGAAGAAGCAGATGGTGGTCGAGCGGGAGAAGCTGCAGAAGCTGCATGACAAAATCCCTCGTCGGTGTACATGGCCTGTGTTATGTTGCATATGCAGTGAGTGAGACGAGAAGGGGAAGCGGGGGAGCGGGGAGGAGGGGATCACGGACGGGGAGGGGGGGGGGGGGAGGAGAGGGAAAGGGGAGAGACTCATGAGGTGTTGAGGGTATGGCGGAGTTCAGCCGAGGGTGAGACTATGGACATCGAGAAGGCAGCCGGTGCCGGGCCTGCGACAGGGAGCGAGGCTGCTGGTGCCACGCCGATGGGCAAGCTGGACGGCGCACGCAAGGGCGAGTCGGCCATCGCGGCGGACAAGAAGAAAAGGCGGGCGTCGGCGCGTAAGGCTGTCTCGCGCAAGAACCGCTCCCGCGCAGGCCGCACCTCGCGCAAGAGCAAGCGAGGCTTTGTCTTCTGATGGTGGTGCTGTCAAGACGAGGCGCGCACTGTTGAGAAGTACAAACCAAGCCGAACAGGCAATAGGCGCCATCGGCTGTGCTTGGAGCGGTGGTCCGGGGCCTTGGGGTTAGGGTTGGCAGGAATGGGTTATGGAATCATGTAAAGCTACTGAGCGTGTTGTGTGGAGCGATGGGCGCTCGGTTCGTGTACTCGACTCATGTAAAGTCGCCCAGGGTGTTGGCTGAGAGGAGGGCAGCCGTGTCAACAGAGTCCGAGGCAGCGCGAAAGTCGAAGACATCGATGGCGGCGTGGCCGCAGCCGGCGATGACCAGGGTGGCGTGGCGGTCGTCGAATGCAGCCGAAGTGACCGGGTAGTCGAGCGAAAAGACCGATGCAGGCTTGCGGGTCTCCCGCCAGTCCCAGATGGCGACAGTGGCATCGTCGGACCAGGTGACGAGCCGGAGTGCGTTGCACTGCAGGCCGACAACCTTGGCCGAGTGCGCGGCAAGGACCGACTCGGGCTCGGCGGATGATGGATGGTAGAGCGCCACAACCCCGGCTCCCGAGCCAACTACCAATCGGGCGTGGTACTTGGAGTAGCGGATGGTGGTGACCGGTGCACCCTCTTCGGGCACGGTGTAGAACGAGCGGATCGGGCAGGCCAGCGCATCGGCGCAGGTGTAAAGCGAGAGTTCACCGTTGGCTGTTCCCGCCACCACCATGCGCGACGACGCCATGAGCACCGACGAGATCGGCCCACTCAGTGCGTGCGTCGAGTACTCGGGCTGCGCCGCCGACCGCTCGACCCGGCGCCAGATGTGGACAAGCCCATCCTTGGTCCCGCCTGCCACCCGCTCGCCGTGGGCCGAGACGCACGTGAGCGGCTTGCGAGTTGGCGCAAAGACCGAGCGGACCAGACCCGACGTCATGTCCCACACCCGGACCGTCTTGTCGGCCGACGCGGTGATCAGCTCCGATGCCGCCATGTCAAAGCCGGTTACGGCCTTGGAGTGGCCGACAAAGGTGTTGACCACTTCGCCGTCATCGAGCGAGATCTGGAGGACCGATGCGTCCGACGATGCCGTCGCTAGCACTGTTAAACCATGGAGCGCCACGCCTGTCACCCGCGTCGACCGCTTCTTCGAAGGCGGCCGCGAGAGTAGCCGCTGCGACGCATCGCCGCGTCGCCATCGCTTCTCCACCTCGTACTGCGCCCGGAACACTTTGTCCCATCGCTGAGCGCCGCGGACACGCGAGCCGAGTGGGCCCCATGTGGCAGCCGCCATGCTCCGCCACACACCTTGGTGCGTCCGCAGATACCTGTGCCATGCCACGCACACCTGCGCCAGCGCGCACAACTCGTGGTGGCTGCAGAGCTTGAACACCTGCCGCAGCACCTCGTCCGGCAGCTCGAGCAGCCACCCGCCGCCTGCCTGACTCGCCGCCATGGTGTAGGGGGGCCAGGGGGGAGGGGGGGGAAGGGAGAGCTGTGTGGACTGATCGCCTTGTGGCCGGGCCTGGTCGTGCGGCTCACTTGTCGGCTGCGGCAAGTGCCCGAGTGCGGAATCGCGAATCGTACGGCTCCGACAAGCTGCTGTTCGCAGGAGGTGGCAAAACGCACAGCCGACACACACGCCACGACACGCTGACATGTCAACATCACTTTATTTCTGACCGTCATCGCGCAGCAACGTATCACGCTCGGTTCGGCTCGGCTCGGCTTGGCTCGGGTACGCTCAGTTGATGCCAAACGCGCTCGGAGTGTCGATGCCAGCGTTGATACGCGGCTCGCCCATCGACGAGTCCCAGGTTCGCATGATGGCGTCGTCAGCAGGGGTTTTGTGCGAGAGGAAGATGTGTGACGGCTCGGGCGAGGCGTTACCAGGAAGCCCCGCCGAGCCGCGCATGTAGGAAGCCGGCATCGAGTTGTAGCCTGCGCCGCCGTACTGGGCGTCGTATTGGGCGTCGAGGGCCGGGTTGATCGCGCCATACTTCTGGATGGCACGCGGCGAGTCGGCGTCGGCGTAGCGGTCCGACGGGGAGTCACGCCCATCAGCGCCACCATCGAGCAGCGGCTTGTACGCCCGCGACTTGGCCTCCTTCATGGCCTCGCGCTTCGAGTACTCGTGATATCCGCCGCCAAAGTACGTTGAGATCATAAAGGCGAGACACCAGAGCGCGGCTGCGCCCGGCACATACACCATGATGGTACGGTAGAACGGACCAAGCTCCTCGTCTATCTCGTCGGCCGACGCAGCCTTTGATGTGGCGTTGTCGCCGTCGGGAGTTGCCTTGGTGTGCGCCTGCGCCATAAACTGGATGACAAGGACAGCAATGCCGTTCGAGAGCTTGTCCAGGAATGAGAGCGCGCCGTAGACAAAGGCTGAGCCCTCGACATCGTCGCCGATGAGGTCGGCCTCCATGGCCAGCGCCGTGACCAGCATCGTCGTCCCGCCGACGCCGAGGCCGATGACCACGCCGTAAACCAGGTACGGCGACGACTTGTCGATAAAGTGCGCGCCGACGCACGTGCCCAGTACCACCAAAATGCCCAACAAGAGCGTCATCCGCCGTCCGATGGCGTTGTTCACCACCTTTTGAAGCGAGGTCGTGAGGAGGCCGGCAATAAAAACCGTCAGAGGCGCAACTGCAATGTTGGTCTTGTCCATCTGCAGCGTGTCGAGGAGAAAGAGCGGCAGGTAGACCTGCGAGATGTTGACCACCAAACGCGCGCACATGTACACACCACCAATCTGGTAGAAGAGAGCCCGCTTGAACCAATCCGACCACGTGACCCGCTTACAGCTCTCCGACTTGCCGCAAGCCTTCTGCTTCTCCTCGTGGCTCGGCTCAGCCACACCCACGTGAAAGTACGTCGCCGCCACCAGCCCTGTCGCCACCACCAGATACGAGAGCAGAGCAAAGTGCCACAGGTCGGACGGCCCGACATCACGTCCGGCCGACGCCTGCAGCAGGCCAAACGCCAGTCCAAAGACCGCAACCGAGGCCACAATGGTAAACGCGTAGCGCGCAGAGTTAAGAAAGTCGCGCTCGCGCGACGACGATGTCAGCTCCGGAATGAGCGAGAGATGCGCAACCTGCGTCGACGCCCATCCGATCTGGAAGATGGCGATAAAGACCGAAAAGTAGCCCAGCTGCCCGTTTGTCGAAAAGTGCTTGACAAACGGAAAGTCCGAGCCGAGGATGAAAGGAAACGAGAGCGCCACACACAGGGTGCCAAACAGATGCCACGACTTGCGCTGTCCGTACGGCAGCGAGGTGAACTTGTCCGACAGCACGCCAACCGTCGGCGTCATCGCGGCGTCCACGCCCTGGCCCACAAACAGCAGAATCCCTGCATGTGACGCAGACATCTCCCGCACCTTTTGAAAGTACACAATCTGTTCTCCCCACACCGTCGACCACGCCGTCCATCGCCGCGTGCCCGTGTCGTCCGCATTCGCCACACCTCCCCTGCCCGGTCAGTCTAGTAGGTCACACGGCAGCCGCCTCCCCCAACCCCCCGCACGCCCTCCACCTTTGACGCACCAGGTACGAGAACCACACCGCCGCAGTGAGGTCGTTGAGCACATGGCCCACAGAGTACGCCGACCGTGTAAGCCACGGCAGCCTGGTAGGCTTGCCATTGCTCCCGCTCATCCTCACCAAGCCTCACAGCCGTCAGAGGGGTACCCCTTCTCTGCCCGAGCAATGTCGCCTGACTTTCCTCCGCAACATGATTGCAACAGCCGCTCGCTTGCCGCCACTTCATATTTTTTCGGTCCGCACCCCCACCCCCCACCCCCCTCCCCCTCCCCCAACTCTGACCACACAAATGCGAAATTACCCCGTTGCCCCCTCTCCTAGCTCCGCTGCCGCCGTTCACTGACACACGCGACTACTACCTTGTCCACTTGCTACCATGGAACGTCTTCCAGTCGAGATCTGGCACCTTATTGCGTACGAGTGTGGCGTGCTTGATGCGGTCGACGTCGTTGCGCTCGCCTCGTGCTCAAAGACCTGCCACAACAAGCTCCTCGGGGACGCGTTTGCAAAGTCGCTCGCTTATGCCACTGCCGGACTTGACACGTGCCTCGCCCGAGGCCTCTGGACCGGAGTCCTTCGCTTGGTGGATACCAGCGAGTGCGACACGAGCGAGGTGTGGACGCCGGTCCGGGTCATGAACTTTCTGGGGCGGCCGACGCCGGAACCGACAACGCGGCGTGGATGACGCTGCTTGATCGCATGGCCGCCGATGCCGTCTCGCTCAACATTAATCCGTTTGTCGACGATCACGGCGCTGCCTGGCTCGCTATGCAGGAAGGCCGCGGGACGGTTCTCGATCGTGCGTTCGCCTCTGACTTTGACTTTCACTCGCTCCCAGCCATTGCCGCCGCTGCCAATCTCCGCGACGTGGTCGCGTACCTGACCGACAGTCCGGCCGCCATGAGCAACATCCCCGACCTCGAGTCCGATCCCGAGGACGAGTACGCCGGCTACTCGGGCCCGGGCATCAACATCGTTCTCGCACTCGTTGCTGCTCGCGGCTGGGCCGATTTGGTCAAAAAACTCGTGGCTGCAGGCGCCGATCCGTCGTTCTCGCACTCTATGCCGCTCTACTATGCCGCCGAGCTCGGCCACGTCGATGCCATCAACGCGCTGCTGGAGAGCGACAGTGTCGACGTCAACGCGCGCGAAGGGCGGGCCATTGCTGTGGCAGCATATGTCAACGAGCGCGACGTGGTCCAGCTTTTGATCAGCCGCGCCGGGCCCAACCCCATGCTCGCCGACGCCGCCTGCAGCACGGCAAAGGCTGGCAATGTCGACATTCTCCGCGACCTGCTTGCCACCGGCACCATCGATCTTGTCGCCGACGGCCCTCGAATCCTTGATGATGCAATCTGGGGTGACGCTGCAGAGTCTGTGACTGTGCTGCTCGAGGCTGGTGTCGACCCGTCCGCCAACAACCCGACCGCCATCGCGCGCGCACATAGGCTCGGCCGCGACGGCATTATCGACCTCCTTGTCGCTGCCGGTGAGATCGATCCGCGGCAGGACGCCGACACCGCCGAATAATACTAAGCAGACTAGACTTCAGCGGCGGCGACAACCCGAATAAAGTCGACGAGGGTGATGACCGAGTCGGCCACGGCAGTTGAGAGGCACGAGACGTCGCGCGCTGGGTCGACGCTGCGCAGAGCGTCGTCGACATAAAGCTCGCGGAGCGTGGCAATAAAGGGTGCTGGCCGCGGGGTGAGGATGGCTTCCCAGTCAAACTGGACGCTGTCGGGAATGGGTGCGTCGAGCTCGAGGCCGACCGAGAGAAGGAGCGCGTGGAGGCCGAGCAGGCCGCACATCGCCGATCCGCGGGTGAGCGGCATAAAGTTGTACCAGTAAAAGGTGAGGGTGAGGGCGGCGTCGACAAAAGCGCGCCGTGTCTCCGCCGAGTCGTCGGCCTTCAGAGCGGTGGCCGCGGTAGCAACGACGTCCCACGCCGCCGTCAGCTCGGCGTCAAACTGCTTCCACCGCGACGGCGTGCATGGCGTGCGGATGGTAAAGTCGTAGCCCTCCGGTGGGTGTGCCTGGAGCGTGAGGCGGGTGCCCTCGTACGGAGCCGCGCCAGGATCTGCGCACGAGTAGCACGGCGTGATGACGTAAAAGTCATGGCCCACAACAGCGTACACCTCGTCGAGCGTCGATGCGGTTGCGAGTGCTGCCCGCGCCGACGGCATTGCCACCTCGTCCGCGAGCTGCTCCGGCAGGAGGGCCTTGACCAGCGCAAACGAGCGTGTGTAGCCAACACGGTGGTATCGGACTACGTCGAGCTGACCGCTCACCATCGGCGTTTGCGAGCCAAAGCCCTCAGCAAACTGCTCTGGCGCAAGAAGGTCGACCCACCAGACCGGATCGTTCGGCTCGGAGAACTGCCGCCAGCGGACGGCGATGTCATAAAAGTCGCGCCAGCCAAAGGCGTGTGCGTGCGACCCGATCGAGGCGCCGGTCGAGGCGACCGAGATCGGTCCCGTTGCCCAAAGGCTAGCCGCTGCCTGTGCCATCTCGACAATGGCGAGTCCACCCATTCGGTGCTGTCGCGCATTGGTCATAAAGCCCGGTGCGTGGTACTGGAGGCGAACACTGAGCGCGTCGGCGAGGACGACCATTGGTCCGAGCTCGGGCGCCAGCGGCGCGTCGAGGTCGACGCTGGCGGCGGCAAGCGTCTTGGCCGATGGCGTCGGCAGCGGCGTGTACTCGAGTAGCAGCGCCGGCGAGTGCCGCTTGCACCAGCCCTCCTTAAAGTACGGGTCCATGGCACGGTCGAGGCTAAAGGTGCGGAGCGGCGTCTCGAGGTGCGGGAGGACTGCGATGAGGAGTTCGCGCTGGTACCACGCCGGGTCCGATGGGTGGTGTGCGAGGACGCCGTTGTAGGCTGCCAGTGCCTCGCTGTAGCGGCCGAGGGCGTGGAGTGCAACGGCGTGGAGCTTGGTTGCATCCTTGGCGCTAGGATCCAGACTTGCAGCGGCAGCTAGATCAGTGATGGCGGCGCGGAGCTCGCCGGCGCCATAGCGGGTGAGCCCGCGAAGGTAGCGCCCGTGGAGGTAGCACGGATCGAGCGCAACGACGGCGTCGAAATGCTTCATGGCCAGCTTGTAGTTGGCCAGCTCGCGGTACGAAGAGCCGAGGTTGACCAGCGCCTCTTTAAACGACGGGTCGAGATCGAGCGCGCGGGTGTACGCCGTCACAGCCTTGGCGCACTGGCCCATCGAGTTGAGGCAGAGGCCGAGAAAGTTCCACGCCACAGGATCGGCATTGTTGGCAGTGAGCGCCGCCCGGAGATCAACTTGGGCTCGGCGGTAGTTGCGCATCTTGTGCAAGAGCACGCCACGCTGCTGGCGGGCGTCCGGGTCGTCCGAGCCGTCGACGGCGGCCGTCAGGTCGACCAGCGCCTCGTCAAGACGGTCTAGTGCCGCCAATGACTGGCCGCGCCGCTTGTGTGCCTCGGCACAAGTTGGATCGACCGCAAGCGCGGCAGTAAAGTCGGTGACCGCAGCCTCGAGCTGGCCGCCCATGGCCATGGCCGTCCCGCGGCCGACATACGCTGCCACCAGCGACGGATTGTCGTCGAGCAGCTGCGAAAAGTGGGTCACGGCCTCGACAAGCTTTCCGGTGTTGACCGCTAGGTACCCGAGCGCAATGGCCTTGTCGGTCGCGGGATCGCCCGAGCCCATCTGGACTAGCCCGCGGCGAGCCACCTGCTCCGACGCATGGACCACGTCGTACTCGGGGTCGGCGGCGACGCCATCGGCCAGCCGCACTCCACGCGCTTTGCCGCGATCCGCACACAGCGCAGGCTGTGCAGGCTTCGCAGGCTTTGCGCTCGCTCCGTCGCCCTCGGCGAGCATGCCCAGCGTGTGCATCAGCGCGAGGTCGCCGTAGTGGCCAAGGCCGGCAGCAGCAGCAGCTTGGGCGGCGTCGGCGCGGCCGAGCGCCGCCAGCGCCTTCGCCTTCCACACATGCCCACTCAGCACGCCCGGATCGGCAGCGATGGCGGCCTCGGCATCCTTCAGCGCCCGCTTGTGCAGCTCGAGCGCGTAGTTGGCCGCCGCCCGGTTGGCGAGCAGCTCGGCCTCGGCCCGCGGCGTGGCGGGCCCTCCGCGCAGAGCCGCCGTCAGCCGCTTGATACACTTTGCAAACTTGTTGGCATGGAGCTCAGCCAAGAACGCATCCGTGTCCATGGCGCCTACGTCTGTGGCGAGTGAGGTGGAGAGGGGAAGAGGTAGAGGGGAAGAGGAGGGAGGGAAGGGGGGCAGGAGAAGCACCTTCGCGGGCCAAGCCGTGGATCGGTGGCGGTGAGTCGCTGAGTCGCTGGCGGTGAGTCGGTGAGTCACTGGCGGTGAGTCGGCGGCGGTCGGTTGGTCGGTGAGTCGGTCGGTCGCGGCGGCACAGCTACTTGTCCAACCCGTGCCAACGTGGCAACACTGCACTCACCCTCACCCGGCAAATGTCATTCCGGGTGAAGCGGCGGGTGGTGCGCGCCGCCATGGACGCCATCTCCTCATGGAAGGTGGTCAAGGGGGACACGGTATGTGGTTGAGAGCAGGGCAGGGGCAGGGGCAGGGGCGGGGAGGGGGGGAGGGGCTATTGGTTTTTGTTTGATCTCCCCATTTGATGGGATGGATGACGCGCCAACCCACCCACCCGACCCGGTGGGGGCAAGGGAGAGGGGAGCACTGGTCGATGATGAAGCCATTTCAAAATATCAGAATAGAGTTTCAGACGCAAAGCGGTTGAAGAGGCTTTGAACAATACGGCTGAGAACAGTGCCCTCCTTCTATGAGGCGCAGGCTGCCGGTGGGGCAAGTGGCGGTGGGCCGAGAACTCACACACGCGCATCCGCACACGTCTTGGGACGGCGGGGCCATGGGCTGGACAGGTTGTCATCCTGGCGGGTAGGGACGCCGGGCGGCAGGGCGTGGTGGAAAAGGTGCTGCGCAAGAAGAACAAGGTCATTGTGGACGGGCTCAACTTGGTCAAGAAGCACATGCGCAAGACTGAGGTACTCGACGGCGGCATCTTTACCAAGTCGGCCGCTGTTCCGGTCGCCAACGTTGCGCTGCTGGATCCCATCGATGGCAAGCCGACCCGTGCAGGGTGGGCTCGCGACGAGGCCGGTAAGCGCATTCGCATTAGCAAGCGCTCTGGTGAGCCGATCCCGCGCCCAATCCTGCCGCGCCGGGTCCGCGACGTCGCGCCCGAGCTGGACGCCGCTCTGGACACATCCGCTGAGGTTGTGGCAGAGTCGACGTTTGTGCCGTTCAAGATCAAGCTGTGAGCAACGTTACGCTCGGCGTGGCGGTGTTCGCTGCGACGATCGACTCGAGCCTGGTGCGGCACCGGCAAGCAAATTGCTGTGCCGCGAGATCTCGATCGCGCGCTGCTTGGGGCAGTGGCGGGGCCACGTGTTGCGTTGCCTGGAGTCTGTCCGTAGACGATAAATACGAATGTCGTTGTGTATGTGTTTGTGTTCATGGTGTGTTATTGGATCTAGACGAAGAGTCCGGCCTACGCCGTGCACGGCGGCGACGGCGCGTTGCGAACGACGTAGTCGGGGAGCTCGAATGCGAGGTGCAGAACCATGTTCTCGACATGGACCACGCCGACGCCGTTGGTGACGTGGATGTGGAACTGGTGGTCGTTGCGCTCGTACTCGTTGCCGACGCGGAGGCACATCTCCACCGACGACGGTGCCAGCACCATCTCGGTCACCGCCACCGCGCCGGGTACCAGCTCGGTTGGCAGCTCGGCTGGACTCGACGCCGACGACGGATCGTCGACGTGGGTGAGGAACAGGTTCGACGCCGGCGAGTAGATGCACATCGAGCCGAGGCACACCCCGTGCGGGTTGTCGTACCACACATCAAACGCCAGCGAGCTCACCGTCACCCGCAACGGCGATGGGTTGTGGATGTAGATGGCCACCCGCGCCGTAAACTCGCACTTGCCCTCCAGGATCGCAAAGTACCCAAAGTCGAGGTCAACCAGCTCCGTGCACTGTACCACAGAGTTCATGCCGTCGACCGCGCTCGCCCCGGCGAGCGAAGCCCGTGCCGGAAACACAAACGGATAGTGGGCCGTGAACGCGGCCGCGGCCGGAGCCTGCGTACCTGGTGCGAGCACCACGTCGACGTCAAGCGCCACGTCGTCCTTGCCGGCCGTCGCCTTGTTGATGAGACCCTCCAGCGCCACACGCGACGCCTCGGCGCTCACTACCCCCTCCATCTCCACAAACGTTGTCCGCCCGCCGCCACGCAGCACGTTGGTGCTGAGGCTCACCGAGCCGACCGACGCCCCCGAGTACCGAAACGCCATCGACGGGAGTCCAAGCTCCACGTCGGGCAGTGCCGCCGGAAGCGCTACAGGCACTCGCATTCGTGCCTGAACAAAGTCCACGTCCGACGCTACCACCTCAAAGCTGACATTGCGTCCAAGTCCGCTACTTCCTCCGCTCACCGCGCTCGCGTTCCAGTACATCTTGAACGACGCGCCGGACAGGATGCGAGCGAGCAGGTTTGACGACTCGGCCCCGAGCGCGTCGACGCCAAACTGAACCTCGGCCGTCAGCCCAGCAGCAGCCTCGCCGTTGCCAAGCTTCAGCACCTCGCTCCCGAGCTCGCGCAGAAGCGTCGCGTTACGCGTTGGTGCCACACGCCCGATAAGGCTCACCTTATCTTGCCCAGTCTGGATCGCAATCGGCGCCGATGCAAGAGTGAGCAGCGTCCCGCGTGCACCGCCGCTCGCCCCGCTAGCGACAACGCGCAGCGCAACCGGTGGCACAGTCATCTCGACCACGTTGTTGGAAAGGACGAGGCCCGAGGTGACTACAAACGATGATGCCGGACTCGCAGGGTCAGCGCCGGCAAACACAATGTCGTCGACCAGGGATGCGAGCCCGTCGCCGCTCCCGGACTGGACCGGGTCCACCCGCACGCCGGCGAGCAGGGCGGTGATAAACGAGTCGGCGGCAGTGGTCGGCGGCGGGCGGACAACGACCTCGAGATCGAGGCTGGCCACAGCTTCGCCAAGCAGCGGTACGTTGGAGGCAAACGCATAGATGTCCATGGTGTTGACTGCGTCGGACGCAACGGTGAAGGCCGACCACGCAATCTGCGCCACCTCTGCATCGGCATCGACCAGCCAGACCGGAAGGTCGGTCACACCCGGCACCGTCAGCGAGAGATGCAACCACTCGAGGCCGAGCCAGAGCTGTGGCTTGAGTGTCACGATGGCAATGTCCGTAATCGGCGCCACGTAAACCTTTCGCAGCTCGTACAGCGAGCTCGCGCTGCCCAACGTGTATCGCCACCGAATACCCGAGAGGAGGGCGTGGAAGACAGATGGGAGATGACCCGGGGCAGAGTGGGCGACTCGTGCAAAGACAGGCACAATGCCGCCGCCCATCCACTGCGAGAGCGCCGACGCCGCCATCGTCGACGAAACCACGTCAACTGCGCCGTGAACAGACACCGGTCCGGTCGAGAGTACAACCACGTCCGCGTCAGACCGGCCGTGCAGCGCCGGTGCCAGGCTCGGTGCCAGGCTCTCATCCGACGTCGCCACCACTGCAGCGTCCATCTGAGGGAGCGCGGCGCGAACAACCACGCCATCGAGCACGTGCGGGATCGCGAGGCGGCATGTTGCGGTTCCGCTCAGCAGCGGTCCGTCAATGGTCGCCACCGTCGAGGCAATCTCAAACAGCGGCGGTGCACCCGGTGGCGGCGGCGGAAGCTCGGCAAACCACGTCGCCGAAGGTGCAAGCCCCTCCAAGCGCAACTCTGTCGCGAGACGCGACCAGATCGAGGCCTGCGGCGATGCTGACGGCACCAGCCGGGCGCCGAGTCCGTACAGCGGACGGCCGTCCGGGCTATCGGCAAACTCGCGGAGGGCAAAGAGCGGGTTGGTGAAGAGATGCTGCGGCACATCGTCCACCTCCCACAGGGGGAGCGCAGGGAGCACAAGAGCCTGAAGCAGCGGCATCGAGTCGATGGTAACTGCTGCTGAGACTCTAATCAACTCGTTAGTCGCAACTGCTGAGAGCCTGAGTGTGCCCAGTGGCGCAGCCAATCCGCCCGGCAAGTCAGCGACGACTGTAGGCGGGAGGTCAACGCCTGGCGTGAGGTAGAGCGAGGCCTCGAACGATGGCATTCCGATGATGCCGACGTCCAGGGAAGAGCCTGTCACGGCCGAAGCGTTGACCAGAGCCTGGACAACCACCGTTGACCCGTCGGTGGTTGCCATCAGAACGTCCAGAATCTTGCCGGCGAGCGGCGCGTTGTGTGTCGTTCCGTCAGCAACAGATGGGTCCAACGCTGAGCCGTTGATGAGAGGCGAGAGCCAGTCGCGCTCCGGTGCAAAGGCTGACGACTGGGGAAGGTCGAGATGAAGTCGGTTGAGGAGCGTCTGCAAGAGACACGGGGCGTCCGTTCCTGGATTGGCACCGATCAGCGCCAGGGCCGGAGCATACGCACGGTGGGTTGATGGCTGGAGTACGTCGGCGAGCAGCTGCGAGAGCGCTGTCGCGGCTGATGGCGTGCGTGCGACCTCTAGGTCGAGCTGGAGCGGCGCCGGGCCGCGCAAGCTGGCTGTCTCGCCCCAGCGTGTCGGTGAAGCGTGGACGGCCACAAGCTGGGGAGCGTCGTCCGGGCCGCCCGTGCCATCTGCGCCGCCTGCCGCTACGACAACGTCCAGCGGCGGCGTCAGCACCGTCAGCTGGATAGTGGCCGGAGCATGCAGCTTAAAATGGGCCGAGAAAGTGCTCTCACCAAGCTCTGCACCGGTGAGGGTGATCATGGGCGGTGGCGGTGGCTGGGTGGCGGCGCCAGAGGGCGACAACGGTGGCGGCGGCGGTGGCTGGAGAACGACGGCTTGGTGGAGAGTGTGCGATATCGGAATGCTGAGCAGTGCCGGGGCACGGATGGTGAGCTTGGCGTCGAGGATGAGGCTCGGCGGCGTGTGGGCAGCGGCGTAGGACGCATTGAACGCACGCCGTGCCAGAACCGACGCCAAGTCAGCGGCATGTTGTAGTGCCTGGTGATTAAAGGCGAGTTTGGATGCGAGTGGCGCGGTGTGGCGGCCGTAGCGGATGGTGGTGTGCGGGAGCGCGACCGAGGCAAGGACAGTGCCCGAAGATGCGGCTCGGATGTCGACCCGGGTGGCGTCAAGGCTGGCAGTAAACCAAGACGGTGAGTCGAGGGTGAGCGCGAGCGCGAATGGGATGGCGTCTGGATCGCTGCACTGGTCGGCGCGGACCTGGCCGGACACCGATGCATCGAGCCGTGCCAGCGACGCCAGTTGGACTGCAACTAGAATCAGGTAGATGATGAGGAGAAGGACCGCGGCGCCAGCGCAGGCTATGCCCTTGCCGCGGCGCGAGGAGAGGCAGCGGGTGGGGTGACAACGTCGGGACCGGGAGCTGCGTCCGCGCGACGCAAAGCCGGTCAGCTCGTCGTCGTCGTCGTCAGCCGAACCGTCGCCGACCACCAGCAGCGGCGAGAGCGCGTCGTGATCCCTGGGCGAGTCCCCGTCCCACACCAGATCCAGAACCATGTCATCGTCCGACTCTGCCGGCGATGCTGTTTGTGGCAGTGAGAGGGCAGCGTGGGGGGGGGCGGGCTCCGAGTCGGGGTCGGCGGCGGCAGAGAACACGGCGACCGGACGGAGGGCGACGGCAGCGCCCGGGGGAGCCTCGGGTGCGGCATAGGGCGCCGCGAGGGTAGACGGAGTGAGCGGCGAGGGAAGGGATGGGTGGGGGGTGGATGGTGTCGGCTGCATGGGGAGGGGATGGGGGGGTGGGGGTGGGGTGGGGTGGGTCGACCGGTCACGTGGAAGGCGGCACACGGGTCGGCAGTCGGCCCAGGAACACCGGTGAATGGACAAGCGCGCGACTGGTACTTTGATGAGGATGTTGGCCAGCGCGCGAGCAGGCGATTACAGGACGGCCGAGCCGGGCGGCGGCTGGAGCGGCTGGGGCACCATGAGTGGCGGCGACGTGTGGGTGGCGGGCTGGAGGGGCTCAGGCACGAGCGCAGGAGAGGCAAGTGGTGCCGGCACGGGGGCAGGCAGCGGAGCGGCGACGGCGGTGGCGGCGGCATTCGGGCCGGCGGCAGCGATGGGTGCACGCCTTATGGCTGCCGGGGTGAGGTTGGGGTTGGGCGGACTGATGACCGGTGACGCGGGAGCCGGCACAGTGCTGAGCGGCTTGTGCTTCTTGGGCGGGTGCTGCTGGACGGAGGCGGTGAAGGCCGAGCCGGTAGCTGCCGTGGCGACTGGGACCTGAGCTGGCGCGGCCGGTGCATGCACAGCAAAAGAGGCTGTGGCTGATGGGATGGGAGTGGGCGCGCCAGATGCCATCGGCGATTGGACGGCAGGCGAGCTGGAGGTGGAGCCGCGCGAACGCTTACGCTTCCGCGGCTTGGGCAGAGTGTCGCGGCCCTCGACTTCCTTGATGACAAGATCAATGTCGATGGCGCCATCGAGGCGCGACGACTTTTTGAGCACGCGGCCAGAGCGCGAGCGTGAGCGCGAGGCGTCT